TCCACCAACTACTCCTCTATTCACCACATCAGGATCTCTGAGAGGGAAAACATCAAAGTAAGTACTAAAGAGGATTTTAAGGGTTTTGCATCAGCATCACTTCACATGTCTGATTGTTTATTGCTGAATTTGAACTGTGAGCTTACCTACCTCCATCTTCTTCCCCAGTTGAGAAAACCTGTTGTGGAGAAAATGCGCAGAGATCGCATTAACAGCTGCATCGAGCAGCTCAAGATCATTCTGGAGAAGGAGTTCCACAAGCAGGAGCCCAACTCCAAGCTGGAGAAGGCTGACATCCTGGAGATGACAGTGAGCTTCCTGAGGCAGCAGCTGCAGCCGGGCCTCTGTCAGAGCGACTACAACCAAGGCTACTCTCACTGCTGGAGGGACTCTGTGCACTTCCTCTCTCCAGGATCCAACATAGAGACCTCTGTCGCTCCTCTGCAGGGCCTCCGGCAGCAGGAGCAGCAGCTCCATCAGGTCCAGAGAGTCACCAGCTCCTCCCCAGTCTGCTCCACGCTCAGGCCCACCACGCTGCAGGACAGCAGCAGCAGCAGAGGCCCCGTGTGGAGGCCGTGGTAGAGACTCTGATACACAGACACTCTGAGACCTGAGGGGAGCAGCACTCTTCCTCACTATGTAGGAAATATATTTCCAGCCTGCTCACTCATGGTGGGTTTCCTTATTGTCTCATCACATTGATGGACAAGTAGTAAAAGCGAAGACTCTCACTTATTTGAAGATTGTCCTCCTTTGACTTTGATTCACATCTGATGTTTGTTTTTCTTTTGTGTTTAAAGTTGGTTGATTTTGAGTGATGATGGTTTTATCAAATCTTGTGAAATCACTGTTTACTCCAGTGGAGTTTATCTTTGAACTGCTTGATGTAACAGTATCTGCCATACTGTGTTATACTGACAGCTACTGTTGAGAATATTTCTCTTCTGTTTTGAATTATCTATGCCAAATGTTGTGTATGAGGATGTTGATGGTGATGATGATGATGTGTGTTTGTGCGTGTGTGTGTAAGTGGATGTATGTATTAACATGTTGTTAATGGGATGTTGATATTGCTTTTTTGCTGTCACATTTAGGCTCTTAAAACTCATTTATAACATTTGTATGACAATTAACAATAAAAAGATACAATCATTAAAAAACACATATTCCATTTTTTATTTCATGAATCAAGTGTACATATTAGCATTTTTTAAATAGATAATTCAAACGTTATCTCCTTATAATGATGACTTTCCTTGTTTTAAAAAGGGAATGTTACCATTTTTTGTCAAATTTTCATCATTTTCGTTTTTGGAGAAGGTCACGTGATGTTTGGTCCAGGAAGCAACCGGTATCAGGATGTTTTTGTACATCATGCTCAGACTAAAAATAACAATACAGACGTTTCCTTCCTTTGATTTAAGTCATATATGACATAAAACTGTACAGTATTTATTTGAATGCCATTAGTCTAGAGTTCGTTCCACAAAACAGAAAAAGTGTGCACACATTAAGAAAAAAACAAAGTGTTAAACTGCCTTTTGTAGAAATCATATTTTAGACTAAACACTGAATGAAGTTTTAAATCATAATAAGAATAATTGGATTTTATAAGTCTACACATGGACATATGAATTCTATCTGTATTTATCTAAGAAATGCATCTAATTTAGAAAAACATAAAATTACAAATTAAACCTTTTTAAAAAAATAAGAAAGTACACACACAGAGCTACAAGTCACACTGTTAAATAGCTTTCATACTGTATGAAAAGATCTACACAATATTTAAAGAAGAGTAAAACATATTTTATTGAAATCCAAGTTAAGTAATGGTAAACACCATTAAATCATATTTCCAATACACAGCATTTACTTACAGTACAATATAATGCATTACAATAAAATACACAGCATACACAAATACACTGTCTCTTGGCATTTTGTCAAACACTTTCTTCCTTTACTAAAGGCAAATAAGTCACAACAGATATGTTCAGTAAACCACTCTAGTTTCAAACATATTGTGACGTAAACTTTTAACTTCACACAATGAATATATTTTCAGTTACATAAAGGAACAAAACTTTATTAATATCCTCACTGTGAGGCATGAAGATACTGTGATATCATTTTACTAAAAGAGCTGTGTTGTGTGGTGAAATATCTCCAGTGTGAACTTAATTAAGAGGATATAATCCTCATTACATATCTTCTCATCAATATGATGAAACACTAAAAATGCTCAGTAACACCATGAGTGAGCAGGCTGGAAATATATTTCCTACATAGTGAGGAAGAGTGCTGCTCCCCTCAGGTCTCAGAGTGTCTGTGTATCAGAGTCTCTACCACGGCCTCCACACGGGGCCTCTGCTGCTGCTGCTGTCCTGCAGCGTGGTGGGCCTGAGCGTGGAGCAGACTGGGGAGGAGCTGGTGACTCTCTGGACCTGATGGAGCTGCTGCTCCTGCTGCCGGAGGCCCTGCAGAGGAGAGACAGAGGTCTCTATGTTGGATCCTGGAGAGAGGAAGTGCACAGAGTCCCTCCAGCAGTGAGAGTAGCCTTGATTGTAGTCGCTCTGACAGAGGCCCGGCTGCAGCTGCTGCCTCAGGAAGCTCACTGTCATCTCCAGGATGTCGGCCTTCTCCAGCTTGGAGTTGGGCTCCTGCTTGTGGAACTCCTTCTCCAGAATGCTCTTGAGCTGCTCGATGCAGCTGTTAATGCGATCTCTGCGCATTTTCTCCACAACAGGTTTTCTCACCTGAGGAAGAAGATAGAGGTAGGTAAGCTCACAGTTCAAATTCAGCAATAAACAATCAGACATGTGAACTGATGCAAAACCCTTAAAATCCTCTTTAGTACTTACTTTGATGTTTTCCCTCTCAGAGATCCTGATGTGGTGAATAGAGGAGTAGTTGGTGGAGCAGGGAGCCATGTCTGTGCAGGTGAAGTGAGCAGCTTCTTCAGGATGACACTCTGATCCCTCTGGAGGAGCCACTCTTCATTTTATAGGGAGTTATTAGCATAACAAAGCCATGTGACCCAGGCAGGGCAGGGGTTTGCAACAATGGGACACACATCAATAACTCAAGAGTGAAGCAATCACAGGCTGACCAGCAGAGATAAAACCATTCCCGAGATATATATCAGACTGGGAATGATATGCTGTCAGTCTCTTATCAGGAGCTGTTGCTTATCTCACACTCCAGTTACACCAGGGAACACAGCCCCTACCTCCTGATGGGCTCCCAGGGAATAATTAAACATGATTTAATGCATTAGTAGCATCCAGAGAAAAGGTTCTGAAATTAAGCATGTTATTATACATATAATTGCGAGTGTGGGTTTAACTTAGATATTTCTTCTACTTTGTATTAGAATAATTATATATATGATATATAATTATATAATAATATAATATTTCAGATTTTGTCCTTTCAAATCCTTTGCAAAAAGTCAAAAACATCTTTTAATGTCACTGTTACAAATTAGGTTTCTTTCCAAATGAATTTCACATTATAATGATGTGAGGACTTTTATGATAAATACATTATTACTGAAATAAACAACATCTTCCACTCTGCTGAACCTGCAGATTTAATGGCATCTAGACTGTAAATCGTCCTGCATTTATTTAATTATACTGTATGGTTTGTGTCGTGGGACATCTTGGGTGTCCCATTGTAGTTTAATTGTTTTTTTGAGAGTGAGGAAGGTGTTCCGGCCTTTAATCTCCAGATGAAACATACACATTTTAAATATTGTGTGATGATGAATATTAATTTTCCCCAAAAAATTCCTGAGATCTTCCCCACATACAGATCCTCGCTCCTTGGTGTGCCGACAATACAAAGCTCCTGCTTGTTCACCCATGGCACACTTCTATTGTTGACAGAGGGTATTAAGCTGTGAGTGGACGCAGAGACTGTGGGAAACCCAAGCTCGGACTCTACTCACACATCTACTGGTCAATAGCGCTGACCTCCCAGCCACAAAAGGCCTTTTCATGTCTCCTCTCAAACAACAGCCAACAGCAGCACTGTGTGTGTGTGTGTGTGTGTGTGTGTGTGTGTGTGTGTGTGTGTGTGTGTGTGTGTGTGTGTGTGTGTGTTTGTGGTTGCACATGCACACAGACACAAGACGGGCCAATTGTGCATTCATTTGATATGCAATGAGATGTTACGTCATGCTGCAATACTAAAACTTTTTTTCTGTGACCAGCTGCCACTTGTTGTCAGATCCGTGGAAATATGATCTCATCGCTTGTTTTTTTGACCCAACGCTGACATTTATACACAATAAACATATTACAGGTCACTGAAAAAAGACCACCAACACATACACTTTTTAATTACCTTGATTTTAGAGGTTTTCTACCAATTATTTTAATATTTTGTAACTTCCCCAGAGACATTAAATGGTCTCACAATTTTCTTCAATTTCTTTTTATTTCTTTAATAAATTCTGAAAAATGACAATGACAGTACAGCTGCCAGGGGGCGCTGTTGATTCCCTCCAACAGCACATACATACATCCTCTTATTTTCTAAAGTCAGTGATTCTATAGTTGATTTTTTCTGTCTCTGTTGATGAGACATACAACTCAGCTGTCAGTTAAGGTTTATGAATTGATGCAAGGAGATGAAAATGTCAAATAAGCATAATTTTGACAATGCTGGTGATAGGATGTAATGATTGATATTTGTGTTGAAAAAAAGTAGGAAAAAGCACTGCTTACTAATAAAATGAATGACGGCTGAATTTAATTTTGTTGTGTATTGAGAATATTAGGGATATGGTGTGTACATGAGAAATCTGGTTATTCATATGCCTGCAAAATTATTCAGTATCCAGGTTTCTGATCATCTGTGTGCAGTTTGTGTCTTGATTTCTCACCAACTCTGCTGCTACTGGATATGCTGTTTACAGGTGCAACTCACAATCAGGAGACTCCAAAAACCAGATCATAACCAGGACACTTGAATACACGCTCACTATCACATATTTATGACTTATTTGTTTATTTAAAGGATTCCCATTAGCTGATGCTGTGGCAATCAGCTAATCTTCCTGGGGTCCATTCCTATAACACACAATACATAACACATTACATGATGAACATTAACTGCATTACATAAAATTACATCAGAGCTTACATTCATATACAATTCAATTCATTCAATTCATACACTTGAATAGAACAGATCCATTATTAATCATATTAGTTACACTTGTGCCTTGCACTTCTTTTTCAAAGATTCTACTGGGGGCCTTTATTAGTTAGGACAGGTAAAGATATACAGGAAAGAGAAGTACAGAGAGGCAACATTCAGCAAATGGGTCAGAATCAAACCCAGGCCTCTGCAGTAAGGACTCAACTTACATAGGGCGTGTGGTGATCTACCATGCTTCATTTTACGCAAACTTTACACTTTTCCCTCACTTTACATGGACTATTTAAAATTAGTTTTCATCTTTAATTAGTACTAATAGTGAGTGATTTAAAGTGGAATGTACAAATGTACACAGACTCAAAGATAAAGTTTATTTTGTTATTCTCTGCAAAGACATTTTAAGACATTTCAAAACTCATCAAGGATCTTCAAGGACCTAGGCTGCTGAAGTGTCCTTGAGCGTTAATTTCCCTACTTAGATCAATCTAATACAACTTACTTTGTACACATACAATTAACCTTTTACACCCAGTTGCAGGATAAATTCAAAAGTGAAACCGTGATGTTTCCATTATTTTACTGGTTAGGCCTGCATCCTTACACTTTTCACCAGTTTTCATCAACTTTAAAAAGTAAATGTCATTATTTGCTCATGGTATACATCTGAATACAATTCTGAAAATGGGCAGTTGTGTTCATTTGTGGCTTTAGGACAATAATATAAATTTTGGGCAGGAAGTAGCCCCCGAGGAAGGCCAGGACACTGAAGAGTATGGCAAACACTTGTGCGGCCACGGTGAAGGGCCCTCTGCTTATGAGGTAGAGAGTGAAGAAGCTCATCCAGGAGATCATGTACACCATGAGGCTGAAGGTGACACACTTGGCCTCATTGTAGTTGGCTGGCAGGTCTTTGCCCATGTAGCTGAAAGAGAAGCAGAGGATGCTGAGCAGTGCAACATATGCGAGCTCAAGGCCTGAACCACCTGAGAGGGTGTTACTGCACTCTATCACAATGCTGTCCTTGTAGAAGTCAAGATCCTGGGACGGCTGGGGAGGGGTGATGGCCACACGGAGCACAGATATGAGCAAGATGGTGACGGACACCAGGAAAATGGTGAACTCTGGCCCGTGGTTTTTGGTCCACTTGTCATAGGCTGGCGGCAGCTTGGATGCAAATTTAAAAATGCAGACGACCTGGAGGGCGCGCACAGTGATGGAGGCCAGGCACACAGTGAAGCTGAAGATGAATAGAGGCTGCTTGAGGATGCAGGCCAGAGGGGATGGCTGGCCAAAATGGCACAAAGAGCTCATGGCAGCGACAGTCAGGGCTGCCAGCATCAGTAGGCAGGTGCGGCCTCCGGCGGACTTGGCAACAGGCGTGTTCAGGTTGATCAGGAGGATTATTGCAGAGCTGGAGGTCATGAGAACACAGCTGGCCATAAAGAAGAGCAGGGCAATGGAAAGGGGGTTGTCCCAGGCGAGCAGCAGGACGGTCCTGTTGAGACACTGCTCGCTACTCTCTGGAGACCACTCCTCAGGCAGACACTCCTGGCAATTAGTGGGATCTGAGGAAGACAAACAACATAGAAATAAAGAGAAAAACAACAGGGATGTAAATGCTTGACTGGGCATTTTGTCCAGAGTGATAGAGTTCAGATTTATCATGGGTGAGTCATCAAGATAAAATGTTGTGGTCTAGAAGAGAAAACACACACTGATTGATGACACTGATCCTTTTCAAAAGGGGGTTTTGCATCCCTTTGGCACCTGAGTCAGGACATAGTGTGAGTACTCAGCACCACCTACTGGTCAACCTCACACACAGCATCTGGAAAATACTGCTGCAATGTAGTATTGATAATTTCAAGTAGACTTTAAAAAGACTATAAAATCACTTCCCCTGCACTCTATTTGTCAGAGTGACCTTTTTTGTGAAAGGTGGAGGGGGACACTGTCTGCAATCATCTTTGATGGTCTCTGTCTTTATCTTTCTATAGGAAGAGATATTTTTCTCTTTCATTTTTATTTGTTTTCACACATTCACTCACATGCACCACTGACACTGACAACCACATTTGATGGGTTTGTATAATTAATTGCTACATTTCGCAACCCCATCTTCATCACAAGCCCACAGGGGAGGTTACGACATTTGTAATCTGTACAAATTCCTTGCCTCTCTATTTTCTCTTTGAATATTTTTCTGGTGCTTTGACCTTATTCTGTGTGTCTTTACGTTACCACTTAAATTAAGGAATGTGGCAGGGGGACAGGCCTCGCAGTCGAAGCAGCATGCGTGTTGCCCCGTCTGCAACTTTTTGTGGCCTCTCGGGCAAGGTGGAGAGCAGATGGATGGCGGCACCTAAACACAAACAACAGGGTTTAAGAAAAGATAATATATAACATTTATTCTATCAGGTAATCTCATTAAGACTCAAATCTCCAGACATAAGAACAGAGATAAAACAAACTACAGCAAACAAAATCAACATACAAACAGCATCAGCATTTCATCTCTAAAAAGGTAAAAACTAGTTAGCAAGTCAGTAATGTATTCCATTTATATTGTGCAAAGTATTGAGTACAGTATTTACCAGTGTTGTGTCAAGAATTTTTTTCCTGTGTTCTAAATTTTACAATTTCATAAATCCTTTCGCTGATTTCTCTTTGATAGTTGCACCACGTTTGCACTGAATTAGAGTTTTTAAGCTTTTACAAAACGTTTACACACTTACTGTACTTGAATCTTCTGTGTGCCACTCAATTAGATTAGTATCCAGTGTGAGTGTAATGGGATCTGGGCTGAAGGTGCCCACCTCTCTGAGAGTAAAGTTCATCCCTCTCCAAATCCAGAAAATTATGTCATATCCTGTGGGCGGGTCACCACTCTTATCAAAGTACACAGAGGTATTTCCCAGATTGAATTGCACCTCCTTAAGCCACAAGAGAAGCTGAGGTGGAGAGGAAAAAGGACACATCAGTGCAGTAACAAAAAAGAAAAGGTTCTCTTTTTGAATGTACAGTAAATGTTCTCACCTCCCATGGATACACCGTCCTCTTTTGGCACTCTCCAGAGTCACAGTCAAGTGCTTGGTGCAGAGCATGAGCCAAAGCATACACTGCCGTATACACATTGAAGGAGGAAGTGATGTCGTATTTCTCCAGGGGGAAATTCATCCTGGCGAGGGTGTACAGGTCGGTGCTCTGTAGACAAATATTGCTTGAGTTAGAGGCTTCCTGTTTGTCACTGGTGTGCTTTGAAGCCTCATATACCTTTCTCTCAAACACCTCATAACCAGATATGGCTGCATATTTGATGGACACGCCGAGCACAGTGCCGATGGTGTTGATCCCAGGTAACCCTGATACAAGAGAAGATGCTACCCAGTCCTCCGACCCAAGCCACACCTTATCTGTCACTTTCTTCTCAATAACAAACGGGAAAAAGTTCTTGACTACTGTCTTGCTGGAGAAAACCACAATGGTGTTGACTTTGGTCCTCAGTATGCTTTCCACAACGTTCTTCATGGTCTGGGTCTTGTCACTGGCGATTGGGAGGACTCCTTGGTAGGCAATGCAGATACCGTACTTTGGTGCTTCCTGGGACAGGGTCTGCATTCCCTGCAGGCCATAGGCATTGTCACTGGCTATAATAGCGATCCAGGTCCAGTTGAAACGAATCAACAGCTGGATCATAGCTGCCACCTGGTTCTTGTCATTGGGAATTGTGCGGAAAAAGGAGGGATAGCGGAACTTGTTGCTCAGCATTTCGTTTGATGCTTCATAAGAGATCTAAAATTAACCAAAAACATGAGGGAAATGACTGCATATTGTATGTTAGCCTTTTCAAGGCACGTGGAATATGTAATAATTCAACACTTTCCAGTTAATAACTTACTTGTGGTACAAGATAGGCCCCCAATAAAGTAGCAGGGGTGAACGTGTTGCTGCTGCTGTCCGGCCCAACCAAACCCACAGGCCTTTGACTGTTGGTGTAGTCAGGACTCTGAAGCGCCACGAGGTCCAGTGCGCCCAGGATACTGGCTGATATCGAGCAGATGTCGTACATCTGGTAGCCCAGGGTCACTCCAGGTAAAATAGGTTGTGGTCCGGTGTTGTTGTTGATTTCTTCCACAGCAAATCTCATGGCTTGCATCAGATGATATCCATGTTGGTTGGCGCTACCTCTGCAAAATGTAACATGTAAGAGGGAAAATAAATTAAGATATGTCAAGTTAAACTCTAGATTCTAGAAGAATAACATATTTGGGTTGATTTTTATGGCCAGGCCATCAGTGAGATACATTTGATTAGTGAAGTTAAATGTTTACTGTACAGTAAAAAAGTGAAACTCACTCATTGCATCGACCCAAAGCAGGCAAACCACTAGTTGGTTCATCTGCGTAGTGGAGAGGAAAGAATCCAGCGATGGAGAAGTCGCCCTTCAGTTGCATCCCCTGTCCCTGGGACATGTAATCCAGTTCCCCATCAGCTAACTGCAGCATCAGCCAGCCTAAGGACAGAAACACAGCACCAAACATGTTCTTAGTTTGCCTCCACCTCACACACGGCAGCTGCGGAAGCTCAGTGTGGTTTGCAAAACGGATTGGAGCCTGTTTTTGAGTGTGTGGATTGGAGGGCGGGATGAAAGGATCACTTTTGCATCTTTCTGGGGAGTGTTACTTGAGTAAAGCTCATTTGCTTTTCATATTTGTTTGCGTGACTGTAGAGTTTCCCTCCCATTGAAATTAACTACATAAATGTAATAAGCCATGAAAAGGGAGACCCGTGACAAACAACTGTAAACCAGAGCAAACACAGACAGCTTGTGGCTCAGTGCAGATCTATTGGTCATAAAGCTGCCATTACTGTTTATTAAAGCAGTTTAAAAACAATTACTTTGAGCAGAGCTCTAATGTGAGTCAGTTTTAATGGACTTTTAAAATGGACTCTTTGTCAATGTTTTTGTTTATCTGGAAATATTTACACTGTAACCCTCAAGGCAAATTTGGTCTGACCCTGAGACGGCCCACACAACCCACTTACACTCGGCCCAGATACAGCAATGAATTAGGGGTCCACATGTGTAATCTGTGATCTGGTATAGCCACATATGGCCCCTGACATAGCCTTATCTCAGCCAACTGTTGCTGGCCCTATTCTGGCCATACAGCGTCAATACAAGTTTTAGCACCGGTTACAAATGTTTGCTTCAACTAAACCTTAAACAAGCCACTTCATTTACCGTATTGGCAAAACTGTAAAATGTCATTAGTCACATATCTCTCTTCCTCTCCTCCCCTGTCAGCACTGCATGTGAAATAATGTGTAGATAAATAGTTAAATGAGTAGATTTAGACAGTAACTGAACACTTGGAAACCTTTGCCAAAAAGATAATATAAAATACAGTTGGCTGAGATATGGCTGTGTCCTGGGCCATATGTGGCTACCAGAGCTAGCCCACATGTGGACCGTCGTGCATTAATTTTTTTGGCCGAGTGTATTGGCCAGACCATATTATTTATGTGGGAACTGGATAATAACATGATAATACTTTGGTGCTGTCCCTTTCAGCCAGGTCTCTCTTATTTTTACTTTTGAGGAGTTCATCGCCCTCATGACACAATGTGGAGGTCCTGTAAGTCCAAAAACATCATATCCAATGCAATTATTTAATTCAAGAGACAAACATTTAAGTCCTTCATTAGGGAAGACGGTTTGTGTGCAGACAACACGCTAGACAATTAGTCACTTTAATGGTGACTGTCAAGACAGCAAACAGGTTTAACTTCTTCTGTAGTTAATTAAGTTAACATTTTGAGTTCAATTCCTGAAACAATTTGTTTTTAAGAAAATGTCGTTTTATATTTTATATCATTGCCAGTCATCTTTAAGAGAAAACAAACTGAGAGAAAGAAGTTACACAGTAACAGTTACAACTCACACAGAGAAGTTTATAGATTCCTACATTTGACCAAGTATGAACCTGTTATTTTCACACACTGATCCTCACAAAAAGAGGAAGCATTTGTAAAGTCAGATGTAACTTCAGAGTTCTCAGCCAATTAGTCTCCACAGAAGATATTTTAACTTATCATAGCAGGATATGTACAGGTGAAACTGATAACATTAAAATGACTGCATTAGGTGACCCAGATCCGGGGTCCTGGTACTGTCCATGCTGGCCCACTGGCAAGATTTACTATGAGACTAAAAAGGAACAAATATTTCAAATGTTAGTAGTTATATCTGTGTTTTTGCTGCTTAGATAAAATGTCTGTCATGAAAAGTGCAGGTGTGGCTGAATTTGCATTTTGGTTGACATTTGAGGCTTATTTTGATAAACACACCTGTTGTACCAACAATTTCCCTGATACTCACGTGCGTGTAGGACCTAAACCCTTTGTTTTGACAGCAATATTGTGCATTTTGTCAACCGCAGTATTACAGAGGCAAAAGGACATGTAAATTTACACCCAAAGATTTGAGCGACAATATTTGCTTCGTGTAAGCCTATTTGATAATAGCTGATAATGATTTATGATAATTTCTATTCAAACATACTTCCAACATGTAAGATCAACAGCTGATTCAACTAATGCTTACTTTGTCTTTCAGGAGGTTTTCATAAAACAATGGTGTCAGATTAACTACAAATCTTTCTTATAACTAGTAACTGAGTAATGGCTGAAACAGTTCATCAGTAACAGTTATCAAGTAATAGGTTTAAGAAACAGATTGGTTTAAATTGGTTGAATAGTAGAATTAAAAGTTCTAAAACTCTTAGTTCACACTATTGATACCTAGAAGAGTTCAATATATAACACATTTGTGCATTTATTCCAAATAAACTAATTGTAGGTTAATACATTTAATTTATCATGAATGCTATAACTAAATATTTGACCTAAATAATCACGATGAAAAAACAAACAACAAAATTCTAGCTTTTAATTCATCAATCAAGCTGCTGTATTGATACATCCCTGGATTATGTTTTTTGTTTTTGTTTTTCATGCTTTTCTAAAAAACAACAATTAAACAACATACAGACATTTTTCAGAAGCTACATACATGGTGCATTATTGTGAATGAATAAATAAATAAATAACAATAAAAGCAATACAATAAAGGAATATTTGACAGTAATAGTAAAATATGAATCAAATAAAAATTGCAGTCCAGGGGACATCCTCATAATACAGTAATGTATGTAAAAAGTTCATCTTAAAGAAATTTAATTACAATTAGATCTCAAAAAGAGATTTTAATTTAGGGGAATACTTAATAGTATGACAGAATATCACAATATTTTGCTCATTGTGTGTAAATTTGCAAAATAGGGTCTCAAAATACAGTAAATAAATACTTGCCCATTAAGAATATAAGCTTTAATGTTAATGTTACAAACACATTTAATTATAATGTCTTTCCTCACACTATCTATCTATCTATCTATCTGTCTGTCTGTCTGTCTGTCTGTCTGTCTATCTATCTATCTATCTATCTATCTATCTATCTATCTATCTATCTATCTATCTAATCCACAGTTTTATTTCTGGCTCGGTGTTAAAGTATGTGCATCTATTGTTATTTACTGTGGGTCTTATATTTTCATCCCTGATAAAGGGGCTGATGCCTGGCTGGCTCTGTTTGCGTCACTACTGTGCGACGCACATGTCGAGGTGAAAGTGCAAGCTGCCATTTTTTCGAAGGAATCTTCCTGACTAGTTAGACAAGCAAAGACAAACTGGGAGTTTCACCGTCACTCTGTAGCGGCTTTGTTTCATCTGTAGGAGTACTGAAGACATCCTGCACGAACAACAGAGAGGCTTTGTTGATTTAAACTCGGGTTAAAGCGCGGGCTTAGCTCGGGGCTGCACTGGTCTGCAGATGGCAGCTTAGCTCGGCTAGCTAACGTTAGCTGTGTCTGTAAACAAACACTGCAGTCTGTGAGGAAACAGCCGCTGAGAAACGAGCCCACACCTCGCAGGTTTGTTCAGTAGATGTGGTCAATAGTTCAGGGAGGTAAAGGGCTCATATAAAGTTAGAAACGTAGCGGTAGGTGGAGGCAGGAGGCGCTTTGGTGCCGCATGTCTGCAAGTTAGCGACACAACTTCAGTTTTGATGACAGTGCGAGTTTCTCCAAACTAGGTCGGAGCTCAGTCGCTTTAGAGCGGGTCGGGGTCAGTCGGGTTCACGGGGGAGACACACACCTACACCGGCATGTCGTCCTTCTCTGAGTCGGCCCTGGAGAAGAAGCTGACGGAGCTGAGCAGCTCGCAGCAGAGCGTCCAGACTCTGTCTCTGTGGATCATCCACCACCGCAAACACTCGGGACTCATCGTCAAAGTGTGGCACAGAGAGCTGAAAAAGGGTGAGAGCTGTCAGTACTCACTGCTGCGGCAGGTTTTTTTTTTATATATATTTTCTGTAACAAAACACGATATTAGCATGTAAACTGCAAAGATGAGGTTATGAGTCAATGTGGGTTAAAGGTTGTAATGAACAGAGTAATCAGCAGAATAACTGTTGAAGACATATTCATATATATATATATATATATATATATATATATATATATAAGAGAGAGAGAGAGAGAGAGAGAGAGAGAGAGAAAACAGTGTGTCTGTTTAAAATGCTGCTTTCAAACCTGAATGGGACAAGCTTTTCTTCTTGTGTGTTCTTTGTGTGCCAAGCTTTCCAATGTTTAACTTACCTTAGAGGCAGAAAACATCCCGAAATATTCAGGATGTCCAGATGTTCGACACAAATAATGATAACTGTATATCACAAGTAAGGAGTCCACAATACTTTAATCTTTAAGTGTGAACATTTGAGAAACTGTGACCAGAAAATGTTTGGTACAGTGTGGTAATACCATAACTACATGGTAATGGTATGTTTATATAATACCCAACATATAGTCAAAAACAGGTCATGTTTTGGTTTTATTGATCATGTATTATGTTTGAATGGCTGACTCCACTATGATTATGGTTACAAAGACAAAACATACTGGCAAATGTGAGAAATTGGTTACTGAAGTAGAGTAGATAAGTACGTTGAATAAAAATAGGTACAGTAATAAATTAAACTTGATTGCAAACTAATTTAGGCAGCATTGATCATTAAATATTGATGATAATACTGTAAGAGACTTCTTTTTAAATATTGAAATATCTCTTTATGTGTCCTCCAGCTAAATGCAACAGGAAGCTGACGTTCCTGTATCTGGCCAACGATGTCATCCAGAACAGCAAGAAGAAAGGACCAGAGTTCACCAAAGACTTTGAGACTGTCCTCGTTGATGCCTGCTCACATGTTGCCCGGTAGATGTGATGTGTGACCACTGTAGCTACAAATAACAGCCTGTGTAATAAGAATCCCATGGAGCCAGTTTGTGAACATAGAAACGTGCTTCTATATCAATATATCTAATATCAAACATTTGGTTCTATAATTCCTATAGTGCAATTGTCTGTTTGTGTAACATCATTTAAGCTGTGTGGTGTTTCTTTGTTTTGTGGTGTATATCTGATCTTTTCAATGAATCCTCTTCTTCTGCTGTGCTCTGTTTCTCCTACTGTTACCGTCCTGCAGTGAAGCAGATGAGAATTGTAAAAAGCACATGGAGAGACTGCTGAACATCTGGAAGGAGAGGAGCCTCTACAGAGGCGACTTCATTCAGCAGTTAAAACTGGCCATAGAAGACTCAAACAGCCCCAGGCCTTCAGGTTAGACAGTTTGTTTTACAGTGTTTGTTCTTGGTGGGCGGTACCACAAAATTAGGTTTTGATCCAATACCAAGTAAAACCAGGGCTAGGATCCCTGATACCAGTGATTTTTTGGATTAAAAGTAGCTAATTAAGTATATTGGGGGAGAGAATGATGAATGAGGTGAATGCATCATTAATAGTCTGCTTCTGAATATATTTTTAATTACAACTGTAAAGTATCAGTAGTACCTATACTTTAGGTATCAATATCTCAAGTGTTTGTTTCTTAAAACGTTGTATACGGGTCCATATCACATATTATAGCAGAGCAATCCTATACATTGTAATATATTGATTCAATATATTGAAGGACACTTCAACAGTCCTTATATTTTATGTCGATGCTTAATTTAAAAATAGCTGAATGGTGACTAACTGCCATTTTAACTTCACCTTTGCTCTCGGATTTCTTCTGAGTAACCTAAAAGTTAATTCAAGTAGAATTTATATTTGATATGAAACAAATCATAAAAGGATAAACGATGAAATACAATTTGATTTGTATTGTGAAGAAGTTAGTTTATGCTGTTGTCTCTATCTATAGTGTAATATGTTACATTCATTACATCATTAATTGATATTTATTCTCACTCTGCAGAAGAGAAGAAGGCTGTGAAACGAACCTATCAGAAGATCCAGGAAGAGGAAGACGATGAAGATGACGACTACAGAAGCCACAACTCCCCTCACAACACAGACATCACGGCAACTCAACTGGTAGGAGGCCAACATTTTTAAATGTTTCTCTTGCATTTCACTCTTTTCTATTTGCTCTGCTGTCTTTCTTCTTCCTGCTCTCATGTGCCCCCCTTCTTTTCTACCAATCTCTTATTCTCCCCCCCACTCTTATTGACTCCTGTTGACTTTCTCTCTTTATTCCCTTTACACACGTTCAGACAGAGGAGCTGGTGAAGGCCCTGCAGGATCTGGAGAACGCTGCATCAGGCGACGCAGCTGTTCGTCAGAAGATCGCCTCGCTGCCGCAGGAAGTCCAGGACGTTTCCCTGCTGGAGAAAATCACTGGTAAGACCTGAGTGCTCAGCTTGATCCAAAATGACTTTTCTTTAATTATTTTATAGAGACATTTTTAACATGGAATTGCAGTGATATCGTTTTACTGATTATTGAAGCAATCAATCAAAAATTCACAATACTAAAAACAAACGTTCATGCACAGAAGAAAGATTTTACATAAGATTAGATGGTCTTAGAAGTTAAAGGCCTTGTTCATAACGAAACTGAAAATAAATATATATATTATAATATTTGACTAACAATCCACTTTTGGGCCATTCTAGACAAGGATGCAGCAGACAAGCTGTCTAAGACAGTGGATGAAGCCTGTTTGCTGCTGGCGGAGTACAACGGCCGGCTGGCTGCAGAGCTGGAGGACCGGAGGCAGCTGGCTCGCATGCTCACTGAATACATCGGCAGCCAGAGGGAGGCGCTCATGGAGAGAGAGAAGAAACTAGAGGCAAGACACCACATACACAAACAGAACAGTCAACAGGATACAGAGAACGGAGTCTGAATCTGTTTCTACTTCACTAATTAGTAATGAGTGTTAAGTCACTTTTTAATAAGAATAATACAGCGTTTTTAACTAATTGTCCTGTTGAGAAAGTCATTAATGTCAACATTGTTTCACTTAGTACATTGGCATTTACTTCTCGTCTTTTTAAACTGGCATTAAAAAAGAATTTGGGAGTCTTTAGTTAATTAGAGAGGCAACCAGTAATTTAAATGGCAAAAATCTGAATGTAGGCACATTTTTGCCTTTCCTCTTGGAATTTGGACATGTGATACAAAATGGATTGTTTAATCCAAATGCATCTTGTATTTGACTGCACAACTCAGAACCTTTCAGCTCTGTAAACTGTGAGTCCAACTGACTTTACCTGATTTAATTCTGGTTTATGACAACAGTATTACTATTTTTGTAGTTTTCAGCATAATTCCTTCTGGTTAAATCGTTATACTCACCATTAAATGATGACATCCGGAAACATGGTGTCGTGACTAAATAGTTGTCAGATAGGGCAAGCAACTGTATGTTGTAAACATCCATCACAGTTTATAGACCAACTTCCAGTTCACATTTGACCTACTGTACTAACTGTTTGCACCCAATTTTCCTTTGAATTTAGTAAATTAATTGAATTGACATTTCGTGTGCACCCACCTTCAGTTTTACCTCTAAGTCAGTGTTTGAGTTAATCAGGCTTCTTTACAACTTTATTGCTTGTATTTCCTGTTCATACATGTTTTAATTTTAGTTTAGTGTAATAATAACTGCTAGAAATAATGGCCGAAGCTCCACAAATAAGACCCAAGTTGTAATACACCTTAATTATCTTTTAAAACCACATACTTTGACCAGAATGTGAATGAGAGTCATAGTTACAAGACAGTTTGAAATAAGTTATTGTAATTGTTATTTGTAAATAAGTATTTTAATTTACACCAGATATCTGTGCTTGTGTCTTCTCGTCTTGCAGGAGTATAAGCAGAAACTGGCGCGGGTGACCCAGGTTAGAAAAGAGCTAAAGTCCCACATCCAGAGTCTCCCTGACCTCTCCCTCCTGCCCAATGTGACCGGCGGTCTGGCCCCGCTCCCCTCGGCCGGAGACCTCTTTTCCACCGACTGAAGGTCTTTGCCCAGACAAACTGCCCCCCTGCCCCTCCCCACCCAAACCCGGCTCCACATTTGATTCACAAAAAACTTCTAGCTGTTTCTCCAGCCAGAGGACACGTGTGGTCAAACCTGCAGGACAAGAAGGGAGGAAGGGAGATCAGAAGGAAGGTTTGGTGAAATGAAAACGCTCTGCAGAGGAGAACAGAGACTCTGTTAGCCTGGATTTTTCCAGCGCTTTTGCTCGACCGACAAGGATTCCACTTCACCAGCTTGGAAAGTTTGTTTCCGGTTTGTTTTTATTATTTTTTTAACGCTGGAAAATGTCAGTGATCTAGGAGGAGGGGTTGGGGTAAAGACGCAAAGCTTAGACAGACATAAATGTTGGTTGTCAGGACGTGTCGATCAAAGTGTCTTTCTGTGTGGTATATTTTTGGCTTCTGCAAGCAAAAGATGGCCGTTTGCTCTCAAAATGCTCAGAGGTTGTGACTACACTGTGAAGAGGATGTACCAGTCATTAGTTTTATTTTTTGGCTTTCAGTTGGGGGCTTTTTATTGACACATAGTCTGATAGGTGGTTTTGATGTGTGTGTGTGTACAATTCTAGAAGATATCGGATTGGGTTCGGTGTACGTTGCTGAGTTCAGTAACACTACCTAGAGACGGAAATTTAATAGGTTTTGTGGGACAGTCATCGTTTAAAGTCAGTAGACAAGCTCTGGTTTTCATGTCCCGTTTGCAAGTGTTTTTTGTTTTTTTCATTTACAGACTAACTTTTTGCAACTCAACGCGCTCGTTTGTTTTCTCACTTTAATTTGGACAGATGCTTGAAATATGATAAGGCTAATTATGTTCAGAAGTTTGTACTAGACAAGTTGTGAGTTTTACAAAACAAATCCTGGAAGTTTTCAAATAAACCTCTTTCTAAACATCTTTAGTTGTATGAGAAAAAATGTATGAAACCCCAAAACTAAAAAATACAATATTTTCCTTGGAGGCAAAAAAAAAGGCAAGAAAAACGAAAGAAAAGTTTTAAGTTTTAGTGAACGTAGAGCTGGGCAATATGGAAATAAAGAAATATCAAGTAGATTAGAGAAATACCCTTTTTCTGATGTTATGTATAAAGAATAAATACAGGCTGTAATGTGAAATGTAAGCTAAAATTTCAAGTATTAAAGAAAATTGTGTTCAGTGATTCATAATATTAAATTCCCATTGAAATTATGTATGATATTTTGTGCATATTGCTCAGTCCTACCAGTGTGTAGATGTCCAGTGATGAAATATTTTACGAAAAAGTAGCAGCAACAGATTCACCTCTGCTGTCCCTTTCTCAGGTTTCTTTTTTTAAGTGAGGTTACACATTACAAATCCCTTAATTGAGATATTAAGGCCAGGAAGTGCGAGTTATTCCCAAAATCACAAAAGTTGTCATGATTTTTTGAACAGAACAATGTGTATCATTTGTTTAGCTCCTATTTGATTTTAAGTTGTCTGTATACAGAAAGAGGAACTGATTTGAGAAGTTTTATGATAAAAGGTCAGAGATGTTTACTTGGAGAGCAGAGAGAACAGTTGCTGTAAATTCCCTACTGATTCAACAAGCTTGGGCCAAGAAATGCTGCTGCAAATCCCCTTTTCAGTAAACTTTCAGATTGATTGGCGTCTCCTGACAAAGTCTTTCAAACAGCAGGTAAAATGTGAATCTCAGCAGTGTTTGTCAAACCAAAGGTGTGGATGTAATCATTATAACAACAGATATCTGGACCGGTTTCTGGTGCGTTTAAATGTCCCCAAATGTCAGATCAACTTTTTGTGGCTGTCGAGGTTAAAGTTTAAGGAACAGAGAGTGGAGGGATTTTGACCTATTATTTGGTACAGTCTTGATTATAATAAGTAAGTTAAAGATAAATACATAAAGTGTTCAGTACACCACTGTACGACAGGAAGGATTTCAGCACCATTTTGCCCCAGGTGTGCTTCACTGTAGATATTAGTTAGTTTTCTTACCTACTTGCTGTGTGGTATGTTTCTCTCTGTAGAATCATACTGTACTGCCAGGACGCTGCCAGTAGAGGTAGTGTTTTTCTGTAATGAAAGTGATTCAGTGGATGCCAATAAACTGGAACCATTTGAACAAATACTGTTTGTGTATGTTGTCAACACATCGAACCCACACTGTTAGATGTGTTGCTTGTATGTTTTTTGTCCCACATTACACAACATGAAATCATACATGTATATAATAATTCTAGGAGCAAGTGTTTTAGCAAATGATCACTATAAGATATGTTTATCAGACATGTGATCAGGTTCTGGTTTTAACACACAAACTCTGGGAAACAAGTGTATATAATTACACAATAAAAGAGGAATGCAATATCAGCAGGTGGAGTTGGGCCAGATTAAAAAAATGTCTGACTACAAGAGTTCCTCTCCTTACCTTCAGAAGCTGTGTGGGTGGGAGGAGAGTCTACACTGCAGAAAACTGGAGGTGAAGAAAACACAAGAATACAGCAATAGTAATATGATGAGCACAGATGTTCCTTTTGGGGTTTCATTTATATTTAGAGCACAAAAAATCCAGTCCAGTTAATGTGTCCTTTATTCCCATGTGTTACCAAAGAGACAGAAAGTGTGTTATATATGTAGTCATACAGACAGACAGACAGATTTAGTTTACACAACAGTCATAATCACTCGCCATACTCCAGAGACAACAACAGTAATGTTACCCATCATGGCCACATGGGGGCTCTATATTCTTCAGAGTGATCAACACAAGACTTTCTGAGTTGTTTAAGGCTTCCCTTATAATTGAGGAAAGGGTTTTTAAATGTCCCCTATGTAAGCTAATAAAACAAAGGCTTTGAACATAAAAGTGCCTTAGATATCATTAAAGTGAATGTATTTGTATGATTTTTACAGACCTGGGCTGTACGCAGGGAACAAAGGGGGGACAATTTATTTTATTTTAATTACTTATACATAAATTAATAACACAATCACTCAGTTCCTCATTTTTCTGGAACAATAGCTAAAGGCTTCTGCCAAACTTATATTATTCATTACAGATGTTTATTTCAATTCAATTAAATTCAGTTTTATTTGTATAGCACCAATTCATAGCAGAAGTTATCTCAGGACACTTTTCAAATAGAGCAGGTATATGTTGGATATACTGTGTTTAGGATCAACATTGTATATCTGTAGATTAGCAGCTATATATAGCCTCATCTATAATTCTTTCACTGTGAATGACACTCCATCTAAAGAACCTGTCATTGGAATGTCTGTTGCTGTTTAGGGTTCTAGAGCAGTCGTAACGATCCATTCTAGAATCCCATAGTAACCTGAGCGAGTGGACTCAACTCTCACACACAGCTAGAGAAACCTGATGTGAGCCACAAGAGAAACCTGCAGGATATAAACAGTAAAAGTTCTCACAGTGAAGAGCAAAGATGAGTGAGACTGGCTCAGTGTATAATGAGCTCCGCATGGAGCAACAGCTTTGTGACGCAGTGATCAAAGTGGACAACGTTGAGTTTCTCACACACAAGCTGATCCTCTGTAACTGCAGCCCATACTTCAGGTGAGCTGGTTATTAGGTGTTAATGCTGCTGAATTTACACTCTTTAGATAAGCAGAGAAACAGTATAAGAGTTAATGAACTGCAACACAACCTAATATTAATAAGCTACACTGATGTGAGGTGTATAAACCAAGAGAATATATAAATATACATTAAACACAGATTGAACATGTGAAATGCTCATTTTTAAATGATACTAATGCTTTTAAAGTTTGTACTGAAGGTGTAGCTCACTGCAAACATTCAACATAACTGTAGGGATCAAAGCTAATGTTAATCTTTACTGCCAGTCTTTTGTGTACAGTTTATTGTAATAAGATGATTTGATCTGATTCACAAGTTATCTTAAATTACATCATTCTTTGAGCTGCATTTGTGATTATAAATACTGGATTTCCAATATTCACGTTAAAAGAAATGTTGACTCTGGTAAACACAACAGACATCATTAGCATTATTTATAGTATTGATGCATATTTGGAGATTCAATTTGTGCATTACTCAATAAAGAGAAAATCACATCCCATCATTATCAGTTTTTCTAATTATTTCATGATTTTCTTGACAGCTTCGAAGGCTAACCCTGAACTCAAATGTAAAAGGATGAATGCATTAAATACAATTTTCAGACTACAAACATAATCTCGTAAAATTGTATCTGTGCAGTGGCTGGATGTAGCTTCAATGCTTGTGCACATGTTTTCTGGCATTTCATCTTACCTTGGTCACATCTGTTCAGAAAAATGCAATATGGGGTGTATTCCTGTTACCTTTTCATAAAGTGTAAATATGAAGTGAAACTGTGGACCACTTTATGTTTAATCCTTGTTTTGCTTCCTACCTGGCCCACAGAGCCCTGTTTACCCACTGGTCAACCCCAGAAAGTCGGGTCTTTGACATTCCCAACGTGTCAGCTGACATGATGAAGCTCATCATTGAGTTTGCCTACACTGACTTTGTTCCTGTGACACAAGAGAATATACAAGAGCTTTTTATAGCAGCAGACCGGTTCAATGTGAAGGGCATCATACAAACTTGCAGTGACTTCCTGGAGCAACAGCTTTCTGCACAGAACTGCATTGGCATCTGGTGGTTCACGGACGTCTATTACAACCCGGAACTGAGACACAAGGCCTACTTCTTCATGATGAATCACTTTGAGGATGTTGCTGCCACCTCAGAAGAGTTCCTGCAGCTCTCTGCGCAGGAACTAGCTAAAATCATTGAGAAAGACCAACTAAATGTAAAGAAGGAGAAGAGGGTGTTTGAGGCCATCCTTCGCTGGATCTCCTATGTACCTGAGGAACGCAGTGAATACATCTCTCTGCTTTTGCCCAATGTAAGTGAGGACTGAACAGTTACTCAGCTGCCACTAGATTGTTTCCTCTTTTACATCTCGTTTACAGTGTTATGAGAACAGTAAAAAGATTAGGGCTGTAGCCAAAACGCCCTTAGTAAAGTCTGCAACACGTCTAAGAACAGGTGATTTTAGGTCAAGGCCAGATGTATAGAGCTAAAAATCAAAACTGACTCCTACACTAGATCAGGCAAAAAAAGTAAAAGATTAAGATGGCGTCAAATACAAAACATCAGTGACGTGGTGTAGTTCTAGAGCCCTAACAATCATTAGGTTAAATTCATGAATTACAGTAAACAGTGTAAAAAGCCTCCAGATGAACAAAGAATCTATAAATATTATAGATATAGTGAATTTTGCTGGAATGAAAATAGGCCTTTTCTATGTGGATTGTACACCAGTTTTGCACCGATATGACTTTGCAAAGATACTTAGAAAGCTGCTTTTTTAAACAAATAACTTCATTAAAGAATATTTAAGTGTAAATAATTATAGTTGACACTGCTGAGAGCACTCTGAGCCACAGTACTGTAAATCACAGCACACTCTGCTTGATGAACTCTCACACTAATATATTACCACAATAATCTTTGTCTGCATTATATACCAGAAATATGTCATATCGGCACATATCGGATGACATATACACCGATACCAATACAATACTGATCTGTCTGTAATAGATAATTACATAGATAAATAGATAAATAGATTGGCCAATCAATGTATTGATCGGGCTCTAATTTGTGACAGTGTTATTACCTTAAATGTATGTTTAACATTTATGTACTGTAACTTCTTAAAGGCCGAAGTATATGCTAATACATTATTGCTTTGATAAGGTATGATTGGCTCATAATATCAGCCATGCCGGGGCATCAGTTGGGACAATTTAATTCCAATTTCTGTCCTCATGTCTCGGTGTAGGTCAGGCTGGCTTTGATGAGTCCAGAATACATCATAGACAAAGTAGCTGACAACGAACTGGTGAAGGCCAGTGAAGAGTGTCGACCGATTCTCCTCAAGACCATGGAGGCCATGCTTGACATCCGAACAAGGAGGTTCTCTGACTCTTCTCTCTGTAACCCTTTGGCCCGTCCACGACTGCCTCCTGACTTCTTGTTTGCTGTTGGAGGCTGGAGTGGCGGGAGTCCCACCAATGACATTGAGGTGTACGATGTCCGTGCTGACCGCTGGGTCAATATAAGTAACAGTGAGGGTGTTCCTCGGGCCTACCATGGCACTGCTTTCCTCAATGGATCACTTTACTGTGTTGGTGGCTTTGACAGTGTTGAACAGTACAGCACTGTGGACAGGTTTGACCTGGGCTTGCACACCTGGCATGAGGTGGCACCAATGCATTCATGCCGCTGCTATGTTAGCGTAACTGCGATGGACGGGTGCATATACGCCATAGGAGGTTATAATGGACGAGATCGACTTGAAACTGCCGAGCGCTATGAGCCCAGTACCAACCAGTGGACATTAATTGCGCCCATGAACGAACAGAGAAGTGACGCCAGTTGCACATCCTTCGGTGGAAAGGTGGGTGTCGCTAAAGAGCAGCTTGGAACTACCGAGACAGCTCTAGCACAGAAACTGCATATTTCTAGTTTGACTCTTAATAGTTCATAAATTGAACAAACCTCACAAGATTTTGAACTCCATTATTTAGATTGTGCTAGCAATCAAATCAGCTTTATTTATCCAGTACTAAGCATCACATTATGTACTATAGTGCCCCTTTTTTCTCTTAGCTGAAACAGGCTAGTTTCCTCCCAAAGGTGTGGAAATAGGTCTAGAAAACACATGTTAATGTTTTTGAATACTTCACTGGAAGTCTTCAAAGGAGGACTTATTGCTTAAATCATTAAATCTCATATTAAATCTCAGGTGTACATTTGTGGTGGCTTCAATGGGAACGAGTGCCTGTCAACAGCTGAATGTTACAGCCCGGAGTCCGACCAGTGGACCCTGATTGCCTCCATGGGCAACCGGCGCAGTGGAGTTGGGGTCACCGTCTACGCAGACCACATCTTTGCAGTAAGCACACAAACAATAACTGTTGATACCCACATAATAACACCGAAACACGGAGGCATGAAAACATGTAAGTTGAGGTTTCAAGTAGGGCTTATTAGTTTTTTATCAGTCCTGACTTCATATTTCACCTTTTCTCTAACAGGTTGGTGGTTTTACTGGAACCACCCGTCTGCGCACTGCTGAGGCCTACAACCCCCACACCAACACCTGGCACGCTGTCCCCTCCATGCTGAACTCCCGCAGTAACTTTGGAATTGCAGTGATCGATGGCCGCCTATTTGTGGTCGGGGGATTCAACGGCTTCACCACCACCCTTGACGTCGAGTGCTATGATGTTGAAACTGGTGAGTGGTCTGATGTCCGTGACATGGAGATTTCACGCAGCGCCCTGAGCTGCTGTGTGGTGTTCGGACTCCCCAACATGGCTGATTACACTGCCCCTAATCACATCCTGCAGTTCTCCAGTGAGGAGGAAGAGGATGACGTGGAGTGATGAAGCTCCATCTGTTTATGAACTGTATTGTTCTTTAAATAAATGTCTTATGCATGAAAAAGATTTTCAGTTTGTGTCACAGCTCAACAGCTTTATTATGAGAACACTAAGAAGTCCTTGTGACCTTTGACCTCCCTGTTGAGGGGTGAAAGAAAAAAAAGCAGCTGAATCTGAATGTCACAAAAAACAGTCTTGTTTGGTGTATATGTGTGTTACAAGACAAACACTGGAGGGCTCCGGCCAGTGTGCAGGCCACTTATCCACAAAAGTACTAACTCATAAATATGTAAGAAATTATACATCAACTTGGGACATCCTGGTGGTCTAAGAGTTTAAGATTCTGACCACATAATCACAATGTCTGCTCTATAATGCACACTACCTAACATACTCTAAAAATACAAATTAATAAATAAAGAGGAACTCCTCAACTCCTGAGTCTTTGGAGGAAGCAAACTCAGATGACTTATACAAAGCCTTGGCGTTGGAAGTGTATCCATTCAACCCAAATGTATTTTGTGGACCATGTTCCCTGGGGTGTCTTGTAATGGATATAGCTGTAATATGGGATGTCAGCGTCTGAGGGAGAGTCAGACTATGTGTGTACCAACCCTTATCATGAGCTCTACACTCCATACTTTTGATTTATGAGGCAGATAATTACATTGCGATTATTTTGACAGATATGATTGAGATGATTATTCACAATTAGTGTGCACTACAGTACTTCATTACAATGCTGTTTGTGACACAGTTTACCAATCTGGATATTGCACTTGGCCATATTGTGATTTTGATAATATTTAGAATAACCCAAAACCAATATAACCCCAATAAGCAAATATTGGCTGATATACCTGACCTGGGCAATTTATCAGGCTCTACACTCTACAAGGACTTCACTGCTCCAAGCTACAGGCATTTGTAGACTGGATCTTTCCTACATGGCAGTGATGATCACACACACATTCACAAAGGCACATAACCTATTCACAGCTGCCACACAAAGCCCACATCAGATCAACCCATCTGGTCCAAAAACACATCTACACAATAAATACATGTAGGTGGATAAGAGAAGAATAAAGCCCCCTCACAAGGACACAGAGAACAAGTACAGACCAACTTTAGTAGATTAAATAAACCTCTCTCTAAACCTATCAGTCAGCAACATAGAAGCGCAAAGACATACCTTCACTTCATAATGTTTTAAATACAGTAAGGCCACAATATAAACACTGAGCAAAGCAAATGAACCTCTCAGCCAACACAAATGTAAAAAAGAAGAGATGAGCTGTACCTTTACTTCAGGTCATTCTCTTTAGGTCCATCCTGTAGTCGTATCCTCGGGTTTCACGTCGTGTCCTGATCTGAAGAATGTACTTTAATGCTGCAATTTAATGAAGAAACAAACAAACTGAGAAAAACTAAATCCAAATCGCGACTAACAGCAGAAAGAGCATCTTTCAGGTAAACTGCAGAAATGAGAACAGCGACTCCTGCGTCTTGGTGGAGAGGCGGCAGGAGTCTGAATTTATTTTCTCCCATGTTGTAATAGTAAAATATGAATTGTTAATTAGATCATGTTAACTTATATACTCCACTTAAACAGGAAGCTGGCTGACTCTGGGGCTTTGTAATCGATGACTTAACCTACTTTCATTTTCATTTGATCTGTCAAAAGTTTCTGTAGTGATTGAAGGTATTCAGAAACATGATCAAGGTGTCTGCTGCTGTACAGTAGTCTGTTAGTGCTACACAGTCAGGTCATCATTTTAACCTGAATAATAAAATGTCAGCGATATCAGCTGCTCATCCTGGAAGCCTAATTCACCATTATGTGACACCAATCGTCCAGGAGACGAGGAGGCGACATCCGTCCGCTCACAGTTTATATTCACTCTGTAGGTATAAATATATAATATATATATATATACTGTCAGTGGTATAAAGCCACCCACAAATAACAACGCCGAGCCTCAATATTTTATTTTATAAAATTTATTTTTTAGTTATCAAATTGGATTTTCTTCATTATCACAATAACAAAGTGTTTGTAACCAAATAAAAATGAATACACCCTTATTATCATTATAAATCATTAAAGTAAAATAAATTAGCTCATGTTAGTATCTTATTTTAACAACAAAAATAGTACTGTTGCCTACTACAGAGTGTATATAAATAATGGTTAGTGGCTGTGGATTATAATAAAATTCATATTTAATTTCATCATAAAATGATTCAAGAAAAATATACAGATCGTATTAGAATATATTCTAGTATGATATATTGATTAAAAACAGTCCTGCTGAAGGCTCTGGCTCATTCCTTCACTGCAACATTGATGAAGCTCTTGATGTTCTTCAGTTTGTCGCTATCAAAGTTCACCAGCAGCACGCTGGAACCAACCCTGGTGGGAGTGAACTTAACACTGGCCTTGGCTTCCTGTTTGGGGCCCACATCTTCAGTCCTGCAAGAATCATACACACAATACACAAAGAGCATCATCAGCCAGAAAATGTGCTTATCTTGTCTTAGCTTCTTTTTCTGCTTTTCTCTATTCTTATGTGTGCAGCTTTCAGTAGGTATGGCTGCACTATACTATATATACATCCCATATTTTTTTTCTTATTATAATTGTGATTATCACCGTAAATCACAGAACAGCACTTTATACGTGGAGTTGTAAGCCTAAGTAATGTATTATTACAGCAATAGTAATCATTGTGTGACAAAGGAAAAAGTTTGCTGCAAACACCACGAACACCATCAACTCTCAGTGAACTGTAAAGGGAACTGGATGATACAAGTAGAACAATAAATTAGAAAAAAGTAGGAAAGAATAGAAATGCTAAAATAAATAATTGATGCATAAATCCACTCCTAACAGTCGAGAGGTAGTTGACATACTCTGCTGTTACTGGTTTGCCGTCAGTGAGGCCGACCCCCTCTATGGTGAAGCTGCAGTCCTGAAGCAGCTCTGGTAAGGGGTTCAACAAGCTCATCTCTGCTGTCACAGACTGGTTCACTGTGGCTTCTCCCACCAGCTGCAGAGAGGTGTTCAGATAAACAGGCGTCATCATGTGAGAGATGGTGTAATATTGTAAATGATTAAAATTATGTTATAATAAGCCTGTACAATTCAGTAGATTAAAAAGTTAAAATGTCAAAGGCTAAAGGTTAAGTTAAGTACCTTGCATACATACAAATACAGATTAAGTTGCCCCCCATGTCTACCACAGAGGACTAAAAGTGTTCTATTCAAGGGGTAAAGTTTGGTGAATATCACTGAAAAGACTGCTAAAACGTTATTCACACTTTTATTTGCCTCTAGTCCACTTAGTTACATCCTAAATTCATATTTTAATCATTTACTCATCTTGCTGTGGTTGCCAAGCTATGAGCTCTTTAGAAAAGGCAGGACTCCTGTTGTGATGAAGGTCAGGATGACCTTTATACAGCATCACAGGGTTTTCACTTTAGGCTACATGGTTATTAAAATACAGATGAAAGACACAAGTCCTATAATATGACTCTGTATGAATTACCTGGAGAGGGCAAACTCACTGATCTGTTTCAAACAAATGATTCTTTGAGAACTGAGGAATATGCACATTTCTTTCCCCTGTCCTTCATCCATACCTTGATCTCCATATCTGGCTCATCTAGCACAATGGTCTTCTCAGCTTTATGGTAATCTATGGTCTCCTTGTCGATGGTGATGGCTGCCAGCTGGATCAACCTGTCAGAGGTGATCGCTGATCCGTATCGATCATACTCCAGTCTGAGGGACAGGCGCCTCTCTGAAAAATGACACATATTGTATAATAATGTTATTAAACAATTTCTATGCAATTTTTAACATGACAATAGTTCTTGTGAGATTATCAGATTTACAGCTCAGATATTGTGCTGTACAGTGTTTGCACTAAGATCAGAGCTAACCTTCTCCAGGGGGGACCTCCACTTTGTCTGAAGCATATCCACAGCTATCTCCTTGTTTTCCATTGTAACCAACAGCTTTGGCAAAGAACAGGAAGGTGCAGGTCTTTGCCTCGATGTAGTTGTTAGTGAGGACAGCGTACACCTCAAAGTCCGAGCCCACAATCATGTTTTCAGCCAGTTTGATCTTAAATGAGAATTACAAGATGAGATTAATCTAAAAGCTAATGCAGCAAGGGCATTAATACATTAATTAAATTAATTCATTTATCTCCCTGAAGGAGACACTTAATGAAATGTTTAACTTTAACTTTTATGTAAACAAGACACCATGCAAACACAAATGTGGCTCATATTATGTTGCATGCCTGCATGACGCTGCACATGTGGGTGCCATATATCAACCACATGTTGCCTATCACTGCAGTATTGGTTATTTTCAACTTGTGACCATTGTTCCTTTTTCCTGCCACAGTTACTGTTTGGCATATGTTTGCTTTTTTTTTTGCAGTTCCATTTGACATATTGGTTTGAAAACTCACTACATCATGTACACTTTCTATATGTGTGAAGAGTAAATAACACCTTGAGATGAAGCCCTGGCTCTTCTCCTTGCTGCTGTAGCTTGTTGTGGTGTTGAGCTTTCTCATAAACCTCCCTCTCCTCCTTTGAGCCTGAAAACCATCAGAATCCCAAAAAAGTACAACAGTCTAGTTTAGCTCCTGTGTCAAATACACACAGTCTCCTTACACATATAGATTTATCATCATCATCATATAGATTTGATAGACATGGACACTTGGATCCATAAAGTCACTTGTATCGGTACACACATGTGACTCTGCAGTACCTTCTGGATACTTGTACTGGTGTGTGATGTCGTGTCTCTTATCTGAGCCCACAGCTTTGGTGCTGATGAAGCGTCCAACAGACTTAGTTGATCCTCCGAAAGTGACAAACTTTCCATTTGAAAGGCGCACCATGTCCACAACATCTGCATTAACCTGACTCCATACACAACATGAGATGACATGAAATAATATCATTATGAAAACAGGCACGACAAGCACTTGATGCAACTTGTAAAAGAGATATTTTTATATACATATATAAATATATAATATATAATAATAATATATTTGTCCATATATGTACATATACATACAATTCACCAGTCTCTGTTGGGTGTGTTAAGCATGGATCAAATCTTAAGTCCAACTTAAATTTGTACTATTTTCTGTGTGTTTTTCTTTAAAATGTTGCACTAAAAGGTTCAAGCAAAAACTCACCTCAGCAAAAATAAAGGGAGCATCATACTTCTTGGTCAGCTCTCCTTGCTTGATGGCCCTGAGTGGAGCCGGTCCACAACAGAAAACACCTGACAGCATCACACATCCAGAGACAGGCTTAATATCAGCAGTATTCACACACACAAAGCCTGGTTTCAGGCCATGCAAGTCATTCAAGTAATAAAATAAAATACATGCTTATGCAAAATACTTTTGGTGGAGTAGAATATCACTTCCAAAGAGTTGGCAGGTGAAGCATTTTAAGAATCCACCTGTTGTTTTGCAGTCAGTGCCTTTATACAAATATGTATGTAAATAAACAATGTACCTGTAATGATAAATAGACCTTCAGATAACCCAAATTATAAACAAAGTTACAAAGTTGAGTAAGACTTATGGGATGCCAGTTAACAGCTTTCACCAACTAAAGAGGTTTCCCTAACCACATTTGAGACGTGTGACAAGAAATCATGATCTCTCATGATCTATGTAAATAAGTCTTGAGATGAGACATATGACAGTTCTGTCGAAGACTATAATCATACAGCACATCGAACCTGTGACTACATTCAGAAGCTGAAACTAACCACCATGGTTAAATACTGTGACTTGACATGCAACCCATATGACCCATCTTTGTGGCAGTTTCGTGGCATAGTTACTGTTAGAGTCACTGTTCTGTAACTGGTCTGCCAGACAGCACGACCATAGTCAGTTTGCAGTCTTACATGTAGAACTTGCTTTCGGAAAACAAAACAACAGGGCATCAAAGTCAAAGTTTACCTTCGCTCTTCTCCTGGGGGGTTGGGTCACTGGCTTGCCACCCATCAAACTCTGGCTCTAAATCAGGACGAGTCATCCAGCTGTCCACCCAAACATGGAAGTTCCTGGTAAAATTTGTCAAATAAAGGACAATAACATTATCATTCACTAAAAACAAAGGTTAATTCTATCATGTAAAATAATAATAATAATGGAACACGTAAAAATGATGTACTATTGAAAGAGACAGTTGTGTTTATGTGTAACAATTTGGTAATAGTCACTACCGCACACTCACCATATTGAATCACTGTTAGAAAGGCTTTCACCATCTTCATCATAGAACTTTTCAATCTTCAGGTTGGCGTTAGTATCATGAGCCGATCCAAAGTTAGTAACCACTCGACATGGGATGCCAAAGGCACGGGACACTGGAGGAGGGAGGAGGGCCACACTTCAACACACCAGCTAACTAAAGCACATACTTGAGATAGCATTTGTCATCAAAGACTGACATTAAAGACTTTAGACTTAAATGCCACATGAAGTAGATGTGGCTATAAAGCCATGAGAGTAGATCCTAAATTTATGTTTTTGATAAAAAAGGTTGGATTGTGTGGAAGTGGAAGTGGACTGGAGGATGTAACTGTGTGCATCAGCCTGTGCTTCTTTCTTCAAAAGAAGAAGAAAATAAATAATAAATGCTTGGATGAATCAGTAATTTTACAACAAACTGAAGAGTGTCTGAATCCACAGACAGACAGACAGACAGACAGACAGACTGTGCTCCAACCTGTGCATGCAACAGCAGCAAAGACCCAACATTGGCCGTAGCAGACGGGGCCACTTTTTGCCCACTGGCGCAAAATGTCACCGCTGCCGATCCACAGTCCTGGATGGACCCCACCTGAAAATTCTCCCCACTCTCCCACCAGCACACCACTGTCATCATTACTGTTTATCTGTGGGCACAGGCAGAGAGCAGAAGGACCACAAGTGGATGAGAGAATGGGAATCAAAGGTCTTTTTGTCATTTTGCCAAACTTGTTTGCTGAGTGGTATGCTTAGCGATTTTTCATTTGCTTTTCTAAACTGTCCATGAGTGTCTTTCAGAGGTAACGTCTCTTAAATGATGCTTGCAATTTTGAGAGCAACACTGGCTTGTTTAGGACAAAAAAATCTTATATTGTCAGACCTCAGTTTCATCAAGCCCACAGAGGTCTGAAAAAATACGAATATAAATAAAACAAATTAACAGGCACAGAGATCTAGCCACATAGAAGAAGAACTTAGTAGTTGGTAGAACCTTAACAAGACACATAAACAACCAGCTACACTAACTGAAATCTCCTGGATGTGTAGAGTAGCAAATACCAAACTGTAAAAAGCATATATGCAAAACACATTCCGATTCAGTGGGAAGAGACGCTGAAAAGCAAGACTGTGTTCTTTAAAAAGTGAGCAACGAAAGAGTCCAAAAACAAGCTGACAGACTTTATTAACACTGCTCTTTGCCACATACTTGGAATCAGGGGTGCCATATGTTAAAAACTCCCATTTTAGCTGAACAAAGTTGCCTGGAGAGAAGAGAGAGCTTCAGAAGAATGAGCGCAGTTGCCCTGCAGAACTAAAGAATATAGTAGAGCAGATGAGGGGTTTTCTGGTGCACCATGGTAATCTGTGCCTACACTGCCAAAATAACGACTATTCACATACTGGTTAAAATCCAAAGGGCCTCAGCTCTTTGTAAAGCCTGGACAGAGACCCTACCATAGCACTCAGCACCCTGGTCACATAGATGGGATTTTTCCTGGCAGAGCAGTCCTTGTCAGCATCAGACACAAATTTCGGGTTGTCATCCAGGATCTTCAGACAGATATCCAGTATATCTTGGTCAAACTTCAGGCAGACAACAAACAAACAGAGGAGAGGGAAGGAGAGCAGTTGAGCAGCATAACCCTTAACTGGGTAACCTTTATGTAATAAAATCATTCATACATGTAACTGATATTAGAACAGTGCCATGTTCATTGCTCTTTTCAGGCACAGTGAAGAAGCATTTGGATATTATAGTTTTACTGTGAACCTGTCCAAAGTTCCAGGGTGTTCCTTTGATTCGTTTATATGTTCCTCTGTAGATCTGCCCATGTTGTGCTAAAACATATTCCTGCCTCTTCGTCTCACTGCGCATGAAAACAGCATCTCCTGTCAGACAGAAAAAAAACCAACACATTTAGACTGGCATTATAGCTTCTTATATAACATCTCAAATATTTAGAATCTAAATGTTTGAGATGTTTAGTTTAGTTTAGTTTTGCAAATTAATTTTAAATATAAGCTGCATGTAAAGCATGACAAATCAAATAAACCATCATCTAGAAATCGGAGGAAAAACAAACTTTATGTACTTACTGGGGCACCAAGCATTAAATAGCAGGATGAACTGTCCTAAACTGGTCTCCTGCCCCTCCTGGTCCAGAGTCAGAGAATAGATGCCTATGGGGGCGTTGGGCGAGGAACTGATAGATACAGTTAATGTGTTTCCAGAGGGACCATTAGTGGCAGATGCGCTCCACTCAGTGTCCACTGTGGAGTCACGTAGACCAAAAGAAACCTTAGTGTCCGATTCTTTTCTGGGTAACGGGCCTGGAGAGACAGAGAATGGCAGGAATATTAAATCTAAATTCAGATGAGGGAAACACAAATCCTTGTGAACACTCTTGGATGCACTAATACACAACCCCCTCCAAACATTTCTGTCTCACACACATATAAACATGTACACCTAATTACTGTGAAACAAGACGCTTACCAGTTTCAACGATGAGCGTGAAGCTTGTTTCACCCGGTGTGAACTCTTTGCTGCCAGTCTTCAGATGTAGAATGATGTTGAAGGGCTGTCCCCTTCTAACAATCAGACGCTCCTCTCCATACAGCTCTGTATGATGGCTGCTGCTGTTGCTCTTAATGTCCAGATCACAGCGCTCAATGTCTAAGACTATATGTAGAGATGGACACACAGATCACTTGTCACATCAAAAATTCAGCTAACTAGACATGATGACTTTATCAAAGTTTGATCACCATCTCAAAGTTTCTTCACAGATGATAAATCATTGCCCAAAGCAGATAGTGTTCCTCTGTGTCCCACATCTGATTTATCTAATGTCACCACCATTCCTGCTCATCACATTTCACACACTTTCTCAATATGATACTTTGTGAAGTAACACAGAGAGAAACTGCCTCTTCAGTTGTAGATTACACACTCCTCTATAAACATTTACATCTCTGTCCTACAATATGAGACTAAAATAGTTTTTCTTCCTTCCTTACCTTCGCTCATGTCTGCAGTGAAGTTGTTGACCCTTAACTTCTGTGTGGAAACTTCAGCTGCAGTCTGTGCTTATTTGATAATGACCCTGCAAGTGCAAAGGACTCCTGAGGGATATTTGTAGCATGTGGAACCTGATCTTGACGCCCCCATCTGTCTATTGGTTGCACCAGTAAGTCTGTATTAGTCAGGAGGAGCAAAGAAACTTACGACACCCCTTCCTCTTTCCTATTTAATTTGACTATGACCTTTAAAGCTACTGTAAAAGCTTTCAACTCAAACAGCATAAAATGTTATCAAAATTAGTCCTTAGGCACCAAATCTTTGATCTTTTGATCTTTTTATTATGTGTCACATAATATATAATATAATACAACAACTAACATTAAACAGATAAAAAAAACTGAAAAACTTTGTTCATAAATTATTTTATTATTTAGCTGCAACATTCTGTATATTAACGAATGATTCAACAAAATGTTATAATTTAGAAAGAATCGAACATTTTTAAATTACACTTCATAAGGCAAAACAGAAAATTACACATACAGTGAAAAATTGTAAGCACGTTTTAAGCAAGAAATATAAGTCACACAATTGTTGTAAGGTCAGTATGTCAAGACTTTCACTTTGACTTTTTAACTTGAAGTTGTAAATAGGTCATGAAGCTGCAACTTGACTGTGCAGAACTGAAACAGATTTACACAGCAGTGTTTGTTATCTGCACACAGGGCAATAAAAGCTTTTGCAATAAGTTCCTGTCTGTGGAATATTTGTGTCTATGGAATAAGGAAGAAAAAGCACACTGTTACTGCAATCCCTCTGGTCCCCACCTAAAGGGAGCAGAGTTCAGACGGAAGAAACTAAATGAAAATTAAGCAAAAAATAGACTAAATCAACACATTGACAAAAGAAAAAAATCAGAGGAAATCAAGTAAGCAATAAAAAAAGTGAAAGAAAGCAGAAACCGGTCAGTGGCTTCAAAATAAAACAATCAGAGGTCAACCATTATAACCTCAGTTTTTCAAGATCCTGTCATGATTTGTACACTGTACATTTCCCACAGACAATAAAATCACAGAGCTTACAAAATAATGACAGTTTTTCAACATTAACTTGTTAAAAACAAAAACACATTTAAATAATCTGAAAAATACTTTTCTGTAATGGTCATTTTCATGAGAGTAAAGCTGGAACATTAATCAGTATCAGTATGGAACCATTAGTGGACCCTAAATATCAGTAAGTGGTTTTTGCCTGAAAAATTGAATATACTGTGTCTGTTAGTGTGCAGTTTGTGTGGTTAATATGGTTAACCCAGCGATTACAGATCTTGTGTATTAAATCCATGAGTTACATAGTAATTCAAATCTAGATGAGAAACCATGTAAGTGGCCTGTCCCTTCTGATAAATTAATAAATACAGGACTACTGTAAGAGTCAGAGCCAGACAGATATATCTTTGTATGTTAATTACTATATATTAATCACTACACCGTCAAAAGATCTTACTTTTACATATATGGACAAATAACCACATGTTTCTCCATTTATGGTCAGCTTTAACTTTGTGTCTTCAGCTAGTTCTGGGCTTATGGCCAGTGGTTAGCTCTGGAGCTCTGAACTGCATCTTGGACTACATTAAGTTTCCCTTCTGATTATGTAACCAAAACAATGTAGTTCAGCTGTCAAGAGATAAATTATACACAATTTCTTCCCAAGCAAAGATTTGCCACCTTGCAAATGAAACACAGAGCATACACTTTACTTTTGCCACTGGACTGAAGTGATTTACTCTCAAATACAGATGCTCGTCCTTGTGTGTTTGTCCCACACAATCTGCTGATTTCAGTGACAATAATAAATACAACCTTCTCTTCGTTGATCCCTGCATATCAATAATTGTACAGACTGTACAGCACAGAAGATCCCACAAAATATATCTGAAATGTTTCCCTTGACCACATCTCATTGTGTTTTTGTAGATGGCACAAATACCTGCTCTTTATTAAATGTGTAAGCAAAGAGCATGTTTTACTTCAGTTAAGAGACAGTTAACCATATAAAAACACATGGTTTATTTACCTCGCACAATTAGACAAACAATTATGATTTGTTTTATGAGGATGAACTGTTGAATCTTGAATTGTTGGTGACTTTATGTATAGTGGAAAAAAAAAAAAAGGTTTTCTTCATAACATTTTAATACATTGTATCTGTAGCAGCTGATGCTTAGTTCTATATGAAAATAAAAACATGGTTGGGGATGAAGATGATTCTGCTGGAGCAAAGGCCCAAGACACATATTTGTGTTTGTGGGTTAATATTGCATGTCATTGAAATATGACCCATGTATCACACACGTAGCAGTCTCTTCCTCTTCTTGTATGGGTTTTATCAGTCTGTATGTGATATAAGACAACCACATTTGAATGACTGACATTTGATACCAACACGCCAAACTTCAGTTTGTTCAATAAATCATTTAAAACAAAACCTTGTAACCAGACAGAGCTGACTGCCTTGTGACTGTGTAGCCACTCAATTAACCGTTTGTCTGCAGGGTGACCAGAACAGCTTCAGAGGAGTGAAGATCTGCAACATTATGAAAGTCAGATTTTAAAAAATGTCTTTAATTTTGCAAAACATTTGTTTGTTAATTTCAGAACATTCTCACCTTCTGCAGGATCCCAGGATTAAACTTCTGTGGATTTTCCAATTATAATGTCATCACTCTGCCATACAAGATATAAAATATTTTAATTCAATAAAATGAAAACAACCCCATAGAATAAGTTCTTGGTTAATAATACACTGAATACTAATTTCTATCTTGGTACTAACACACATTCAGACCATTTTCAAACCTTCACAACTTCTATCACTGGAGAAATAACCTCCTAGTCCTGTACCTGAACATTAGCCAGATGTGGAGGTTTGGGGGTGACACCTGGCTTCTTTATGGTAACAACTGGAGAGTTGTTTCTCCTTAGGCTCGGGGTCCAACAGAGTGGTGGTCGAGACTTTGAACTCTGGGATACAATTGAGGAGGAGTCGTCCACTACCTCTGCACCAATGGCAGACAGGCAGCTGTGGTCTGAGCTGCTGAAGAGGTTGATGCATTCTGTGGATGATTCAGTGCTGCCCACTACAACAGAAACACAACTGATACTTTGAGAAACAATGGTGGCGTAGGTTTGTGCATTACTTGACACACTGAGAACATTTATACAAGTTCAAATCCCATAATAGCATCTTAAAATGAATAGATCATAGAGAGGAAAAATGCACATTGTCCAGTTGTGGCACATATCAGTAATCAAGTTAGTCATTCACAGTGTCATTTTTGATGCTACCACCAGATGGTGCCAAACTAAGAACAAAAAATAAAAAAATATCTCATATTTAAATGTCATACTACTTTAGGTTGATAATAAAACCTGTCCATAATATTTGATCTGATTTCCCTTAAAGAAATCAGATGTTTATTTAGAGTCTGAGGTGCTATTGAGCTAAGAAGTCAGAAGCAAACCGACTCTTCTTTCTTACAACTAAATTATTAAGACCTTAACACAAACTCACTCAGAGGATGATGAGCTTTCCACTGTTCACAGTTACGATGAAGATGATGCTGATGAAGATGCTGATGGTTGAGGTCGTTTTCAGTCACAGCCTCAGGGGAGGAGCAGACGGCTGGACCGGTCTCCACCCCTTGTGACTGGTTCCCAGAATAACCAGCAGGGGGCAGCGAGCCGCGGCCAGAAGAGGAAGAAGATTGGCTGAGGGTGGTGGAGGCGGTGCTGCCAGAGCCAATGGAGTGTGGTCGTGGATATTCTAAGCCCCTGTGTGAACAACACGCCACAGGGACTGACGACAGACATAGATAGATGTCATCAATGAAAACATAATGGGCTGGGTCAGAGAGCAATGATGGCACAAGCATGACGGTTATTTCAGGAAAATGTATTTTTAGTTTGGTTACATTTAGTTACTTTGTAAGCTAGTTTTGTTTTGTTAATCTTAACAACATGTAAAATATGTTAATACAATGAAAACCCTTTTTAGAAAGGAAATATCTAAAACTGGAAACAAGATTAAGACTCTGCTGCCATGCTAGCTGCTCTGTGAAGTTGAACTTTGGCCCAGCAGTGCTAAATGCTAGCATCAGCATGCTAACATGCTCCCAATGTAAACATGCTAATGTTCATGCTAACATTTGCTAATTAGCACAGCAGAGGCTGATGGGAATTTCATTAGTTTTGCAGGAATGTGGCCATAAAACAGTGTTGGACAAATTCAAATTTTAACCTGATGATGGCACTAGATGAAAAGTGAGGGAATCAACAGAGTTATTACAATTCATCCTGAGGCGGCCATAATTGTTTGTACCTAATGTTATATCAATCCATCAACAGTTTTGTTTTGTTGTTAATAAAAAAAACTGAAATGTGAACCTCATGGTCTACTATTTAGACATCTAAGTTGAACATTAAAGAGGGAATATACCTGAAATGTATATTAAAATTGTCCATTTTACTGCAAAATGTGTAATTGCTGTAAATAAATACAGTTTGTCAAAAGTTGAACCAGGAAGTGAACCTGAAAAATCTAACAGATACTTTCAATGTTCAGTTTCACCAAAGCCTGTGGATATATTGTATATCATGAAAAAAGTGGTACTATAGTTGGTTTGAAGAATAAAATGTTTTCACTTTCTCTTTTGTAACGATGCATTTTGTGTGTGATGCTCCTTACTTCTCCCAGGCAGGACACAGCTGATGGCCCGGTCACAGATCGCAGCGTCACTGGGTTGAATGTCCATGAAAGGTTTGCGGCCCATACCCATGAACACCCTCTCCTGCATACGCAGCTCTGGAACATATGGTGTATTCACCTATAAAGCACTTTGTAAACTGTGCTACATAAATAAGATATGTTGTTGTTGTTGTTACCTCTACTGTGAGCGGCCTGATCCCACAGAATCTTCTCCAGGTCGGTGGTCCAGGCTTTCTTCACCTCCACGCTGGAGGCCTTCAGGGTGTAGGTGTCCTCACTTTTTCTCCTGCGGAACCAGATCTCAAAGCACAAACCGCTCACACTCGAGTTGTGGGTCATCCCGATGTCACTCGTCTGGGAGACACAAAGAGACACAGAAACAGAATATACTGAATATCATCAAGGAGAAAAATACGGTTGAGTAATACGGCTCCTACAGCCTTTTGATCAACATGTGTGCACACCTTGAATGACTGCTTGTAGACATAAACATCGTTGCCGATATCTGTCCTCTTCGTCTTGCTGAAGAGGATGAGCTCTTCAAAGAGAAAGATGCGGCGAACACATTTTTTCTTCCTAAAGAAAACTGTGAACTCGTCCTGGCGAATCAGCTGGCCCTGTTCTTTTAAATTCACCTGATAGAGAAGAGAAATAAGAGTGGCTGTTAACTTCATTTAACTACTGTTTATCGACTTTAGTTTATCTATCCTTTTAATATCTTACATCACACTCCTGGATGGCGTCCATGGTGAGCAGATCGTTGCCATGGCGCATCTGAAACCGAACCAGGTCTGCAGCAGATTGGATCTCAGCCCTCTCCCGCTCCTTCTCACCGCTCGTCAGATCAGGTACATACGCACCAGGGCCACACACACTTTGTGCGCACACACTGGATGCGAGCAGTGTATCCTGGATCATGTCTTTTGGCCTGTATGAACCAGCCAGAGCAAGCATGTCCTGCAGCAGGAGGCTATACTTGCTGATCCTCTGGATGGGCCTCAGCAGGTAGGATGAAAGGTCCATCATGTCCCCCAGCTCCTGCTGCTTCCTCTGTTAGGGGAAACAAAGGGAAAAGGTAAAGCATTCCCAGGGTAAGTGGTGTGATGACTGCTGCAGCCGTCAAAGAAGTCTTTTAACTTCACTGATGAAATTATGTTTTTCTGATGTTGTATGAGTTGCTTTAAAGGAAATAATTTGATGCTAAGGAAAACTACATCTGCTTTAGAACAATTAAAATGCAAAACTCTTTCACTCATATGTTTCACTTAACAAAGGAGACGTAAACTGACCTTGAAGATGTCATGGCGACGGTGTAGGATCAGCGCGTCTGACTGAGGCTTGTTCTTGCTGTACAGAGCGTACAGGCCAAAACTCTCACTCTGTGGAAAGAGACAAAATTAAACCATATTAGAAAACGTTATTAATAAGGCAACAAACTGTAAATCTGCAATGATACCAGAACAATATTATTTATCTGTCTACTGTGGTCTCATCACATCTGGAGAAGTAGGGTGTAACTATTTATGTACTTTTCCATCAGTTTACTAATTTTTAAAAAATGATTTCAATTATACAATAATAAAAATAGAAATAAACATAATCAGATAAATAAATAAATGAATGAGAATTTCAAACATACAAAAAGGATGTACTACATATATACACAATTATATTCATTACAGTTACTACTAACGTGTCTGAGGAAGCAGCGGGCCACCATGGCGGGCTCCCTCTGGCAGGCCTCCAGCTCTGGCAGGAAGTAGTGGCTGTGGAAGTCGTAAAGCTTCTCCAGGTTGCCGAAGATGACGCCTCTCTTGCCCCTCAGGTCCTGGGGGATGTCTGGTCTGTCCAGCAGGGGGAGGTAGTGGGTCAGGATGTAGCCCAGTGAGCGGACATACTCTCTCTCTGTGAACACCAGCTCCTCCAGGACACGCTGCAGCCTCCTGGTAACACAAACAGGAGAGATATCTACTTTACAGTACATCCATTCATCTCGGTAATATACTTAATGATATAATAGTGGTAGTAATTGCATTTCATGTCCTCATCCTAATAAGTGAATATGAAAATACCCAATTAGTGGGTTTTACCGAACCAAATTATATTAGGAAAGTTGTTTGGGGTGTATTTCATTTCCTGTTGCAGTGTTATTTATTGATTAATTAGATCTGCATTGGCTCTTTGTCTTTTGAAATATGCGTGTGATGAACTGACTGATAAATGAACCAAGGACTAATATTATCAGGCTGTTTTACTGCACTCTCTGGGTCAAAATTTTTAGCCTGTTTCCCTTCTGACCATACCCAACAGTGACGTACAGGTGTACACCACTAGCATCTTTACATTTCAGCAGTTAACACATGATTTTACTCTTTCCACATGCACTGTGATAAAAAAGAGAAAAGTATGGATGGATTATGAGAACATCCTCCCAGCTCCTCTGCTGTCAAATATATTTAAATTGCTTTACTAAGTTTACTAAATATAGGCTGGGCAGCAGTATTATGTCACAAAAAAGAAAAAAAGAAAAATACAATATTTGGATTGTAATCAGGATCAGCAGATTCTCGTTATTAAAAGGACTCAAACTGTAATCAGGAATCAAAAATGTGATTGGGATACCCAAACTTATGACTGAGCCAATTAACTTTCCAATGAGATACGTAGATTATTAACAGTCACTATATACAGAGGGTGTGTGTCTGGTAGGTCTGTTCAGTAACCCATCCATGCTGACAAGTGGAAGATAAGCAAAGAGAATCAGAAGAACCAATACCTGTGGCACTTCACTGAAGGCTTAAAGACAGAAAAGAGTTCAAGAAAACTTATTAGGACTCACAAGATTAGTAAAATTAAAGGCATGTCACTAAATGTTCTAATCACAACAAAGATTATCTTGCAAAGCAAATGATAACTCAGATCTTTTTTTTTTATCAGTAATCAATCAAGCAAATTTCACCCACATGTAGTAAACTTACAGGGCGTTGCTGGCACTCTCCTGTGGACTTGCCAAACAAAACCCCCCCTCATATCTGCCGCTGGGCAGGCTGGAGTGTTTGCAGCATAATGTCCCGTTGCCCCCTGCAGCCCCCCGGTCGCTCATACAGGAGTCTTCAGAGCAGAAGCTCCCGTGGCGGGAGATCTGGAACTTCTGAGCCTCCTGGAGGATTCGACAAGAAGGCTGCCCGTGGTGGGAGCAGGATGACGGGGGTCGAACGCGCTGCTCTGGAGGAGTGGATGACCCTGCCGTTGCTACTCCCGTGGTGCACGAGTCCTGGCTCACCGACCTCACTCCAAGACCTCGTCCCCATGGAAACCACTGGCAGCCGACTGTGTGGGACTGAGAAAGAGCTGCAGCATCTCTCTCACTCCTTGCTCTGCTCGCCTGTCTCCTCTTCGTCTCCCTTTCTGTTCTCTTTGCTGACCTATCAAATGATACAAAGGCACCAATACTGAGTCAGAACCCAAAGTGTATTCTTCTTCTAAAAAACCTAGATTTAAGATAAAAGAGAACAAGCCTTTGCTGTAAGGGCCCTTAACCTCCTCAACCTCACAACGCCTTTAGTTTATATTCCATAAATATTGGCAAAATGTGAATAAAATGACACACAAGATATAATAGGAGTATTTCTATTTGATTGAATGGTGCTGCCATAAAAATCTGCACATCTTTGTTATACTTGGCCTGGCAACCAGCTCAAAATAACATTGAAAGCCAAAGTGGGTTACACTCTTTGTTAAATAAACAATGGCAGAGAAGAAAACTACACAATTCATTGTTATTTCTCTCTTTCTAAGTCCTTATTATTAGAGCCTGTAGCACTTTTGCAAACTAAACCTACTTACTGGTACAAATGAAATAACATGAAACAATAATTTTCTCCTATAACAAATATCAGCATCATCATCAAAGTGTGTTTCTTTCTAACAGTGTTTCAGGACTGTTTGGAAATCACAGTGAACCAACTCCAACCACTACATCCTAGTTGAGTGAGATAAAAAGGACCAACAAATTACCTGTGAGGTGACTGTGGAGTGACCTTTGACCCCTGGCTGGTTCCAGCATCACTGTGATCCTCAGGTTTGACTGTGATGGCTGCAGTTGTTGAATTAGTTCCCAGGATTGGCCTCCTCTTCCCTAAATCCACCTCTCCTGAAATGATGCCCTCCCACTCCGGGTGCCGAGGCCCCGGCGTTGATTGTACCACCAGACTCCGGCCACCAGAGGACGGTGTCTGAACATTAGTGCTCACCACATCGACATAATGACGTTCACACCAGCTGCTAGAATCTGGCTGTTGGTGGAAAACCTCATCCTCTACATCCTGCATCTTCTCCTGAAGCTGCTGTCTGGCCTCTTGGCATCTCAGCCAGGCTATGTTCCAGACCCGCATCCCCCTGGAGCCTCGCAGGGCGCTGGCCTGGGCCTTCACCTCCTGAAATCTCTCTGTGCTGAACTGGAGGAACCTGTCTTGGAAAGTATGGAGGATGGAGTCGTCTGACAGTAAAACACCGGTGGTGTTTGGGCCTGAGCCCTGTGTTGTGTGGTTGTCAGACTCCTGGTTCTGGTGTTGTATTAGCTGAGTGTTTGTTTGACTGGCAGATGTTGTAGTCTGGTCAGGGTCTTGCATTGTGTGGATTCTGGATTGACTCTGGTTCAGGTACTCAATGCATTCGCTGGCAAGTGCAGTAGCCTGGAGATTAGGGAGGTTTTCTTTTATTACACATTATTACACAAATGTGCATGTTCTTAATTTCTTTTTTAATATCATGCTACTCTACTCAGACAGAAGTGCTGTAACACGACTCAAATGTTACTAAGGTAGCAAGATTGCACCTATGCTGAAAACTTATAATAAATATATATTGTGTAACTGTTTTTCTGCTGATTTTTGATTGCATGATGTGTCATTTAAAGAAAACGTATCCATGCCACATATGTTCTGACGAAGGGTTCACTCAGAACAGTGTCAGCAGATTTATCAGTTCTTTAGTACAAGTATTTGAAAAAGCTGCTTGGTCATTAGCGTGTGATCAGTTAATTTCGGCCCTACATCATTCTATATTTATGATGTATAGTTGTAGTTATATTACTAAATACTGTAGCTATATTATTTAATTCCTTTCAAAAATATGATTTGTGAAAGATTAACATGAAATTGCACATAAATAAAACTAGATAAGTCTTTGTGGGCTGAATAAATGTTTCTACAGGGTAAGAGCTGCATACTGATATTGAATACTAAATGTAATTATTTATTAAATATTATTCATTAATTCAATTATTATTTAAATAATATTGATCTTACGCCAACCTGCTCACAGAAATCACACACGTTGACCATGATCTGCAGCTCTCTGCCACACGCCTCTGCCCTGCACAGGAAGTCCTCTAGGCCTGACTTGAAGGTGCAGACTAGAGTCCTGAATGCCTCAGTCTCTGGGTAGGAGAGTCCACTCGGCTGCAGTCGCTCTGCCTCTGACACTAACGTCATGGCATGGTGCCTTCGGTCCTGAAGAAGGAGGGAGAGAGAGATTCAGACAGGTGGACAGACAGAGAAACACAAACACAGACAGAAAGACAGTGGCAAGAAAACCGTAGACTCACATTAGCTTCAATAAGGAAACCAGTGAAGCTGTTGAGGATCTGCTCCATTCTGTCTCCAGAGTCCTCGACGGATTCAGCCTGCAGCAGGTGGCGCTCTCCCTCTACATTAAACCACTGGTGCATCTGGAGGGATGGAAGATGATATTGATGTTTAATTAAGGGCGTATATGTAAATACTGCATCTCCATCACTGAGGCCGATGCAATATGTATCTTGATGCACTGTCAACGATCCAATACATTAAAGATATTTGTGAAACTACCAACGTACTACGATACAATTCTCCCCTATTGAGATACATTGTGATTTGACACAATTAGATCTAAATATAAATGAATTGTTCACAAATTATTGGTCACATTTCTAAATAATAAAGACATGGTGCTTCTACTAATAATTACATATAAATAAAGAGTTTGTTTCACTGATGATTATCAAGATCAAGATTATAGAAAATCAATACACACTTTTTTAAGGAGGAATTTTGGAATGAGGTTTGATCTACTCCTCACCATATCCACATAGTAAGTTATTATCATTAGATCGCTGGGCCTTCATGAACTCAGGGACTGTAATGTCCATTATGGTCCATAACTGCCATTACTGCAATTACCAAACATAATATATTTTGTAAGTTGCTTTTATCGGAACATCTGTTGGCAGACTTCATGGTAAGCTATTATATTGCACCTGCATGAAGTGTCCCTCCATCTCTCTGAGTTGCAGCAGATACTCCAGGTGTTCCAGTGACATGTTGGACCTTTGCACAAGCACGTGAGCCTGCTCCTCCACGTGGTTGTACAGGCTGGTCACAGAGTCCACAGCATCACTACATGAAGGAAAAAACACAGATCATAGGCTAAAGACAATAAAATAAAAAACAATAAAATGAATAACTGGTGTTCTGGAAGAAGATCTGAAGGGAGGATAAGACAGCATAAGCATTACTCAGTTTAAATAACACAGTTAGGCTCATACACTAACTGGGAAAAACTGGCTTAAGACACAGAAACTTTTGCTTATCAGCTTTGGCACAAAGTCAGATGTTGAGTGTTACAGCTGCATTTTGATCTCAAAATAGTAAAAATATGATGGTGTGTCCTCCTCACAAGCACAATAGACTACGCCTGGAACATTTGTTTCTGTCCTATGGTGTGGTGGTTGGCAGGAACATGTTTAGTCACGTGGTGTATTTCCTAGCAGCAAGAATATTCAATGACAGGGTATCAAATCATGTAAACAAACTGACACCAAAAAAAGACTGTAGAGTCAATATCTGGGTTGTTGTGTACAGACAAATGTAGCAAGTGAGAGCAGGAGATTTTGTGTTTACCTGAGGTCCTCGCAGTGGGGATATTTGAGGTCACTCTCCTTCCGCAGCCTCGCCAAGATGGCCCCGCCCTCCCTCTGCAGACTGACCAATCGGCTGTCCTCCAGTACATCCCTCATCAGAGTCCTCTGGTCCATCATGCATTGCTGCACAGTCTGTTAGACCCAAAGCAATATTAAGGTCAGCAAATGATACAATAACGTTGATATGACTTTGCTGCTTTGTGTGAAAATAATCTAAAAAGAGTCATCAATACTTTCATATACAAGAAGCTATTATCCTCATAACACACACTGTATTGTATTATCAGTGAAGACAGAGTTACGTAATTCAAGGTAAACTTTCAGGCCCAAATAACAACATGAGAATGCAAAGGATTAAGTTACCTGTACAGTGTCCGTCCTCTGGGGCTCCTCCAACCTACTGATTGCTCTCAGTAGGTGGCTGGATGCCTCATGAAGGTCAGACACAAAAGGGAAGAGTTTCTAGAAAATGAGAGAGTAAATCATGAGCACTGAAGAAACAACTACTGCAATACCTTATTAGAGAGAGGAGAGGTAATCTACTGATGTGACTGTCTCACCTGGTGCAGCTCCATCCAGTCACAGTGGCTGTGAGTCAGTGTGCCATCCAGGCTGGAGCTCAGCTGACTCACCTCCACCAGCTTTAACAAGGCTTTCATTGACGTCACCACTTCAGTCTGCTTTGCGGGAACAAGTGTGTAGTTATTCAAGTTATTCATTTTTCTGCAATGTTGTTTATCAACTTGTTTGAATTCTAAAATGTGTTAATTTACTTTAAATTGAATAGCTTCTTCTTGCTGAAATAAACTGGAACCCTGAAAGTGCTCCACAGCACAAAGTCACCACGTAATGTCTGACTGAGTTGTTCATCAATAACCATGATTATTTGACAAGTTTTCAAGATCTCTACCTTTGAAACCTCACTTTTTAATTAATATTCTGGTTTTGGAGTCAAACTAATATTTGCACTAACACAAGATCAGAGGGTCCACTAACCCACTGCTGGTATTCGCTCTATGTGACCGGGCCCAACGAGTCATCAATAACCCATTTTGTTTTGCTCATAGAGTATTTTTTCTTCTTTCTTCAATTAATTACAAATTGTATATTCGATGCACAGTATACTTAATATGGGTCCAGTTCTCCTGATTATGGTGCAAAAGCAACATTTAAAGTTAAAGGTTTTTCATCAATATACTGTATACAATTTGCTTGTTTGCTTGTATATACAATAGTCTTTAAAAATGTCCCTAACAATTTGCATCAAGTATTTTATCTAATTTGTTTGACAACTGGTTAATATTCTAGCCTATTAAATGCAAACATAGTAAATTGTTGTGGCTCCTAAAGATGATAGTGCTGACGGCACTAGATGAAAAATGTTGTGATAACTCAAAACATCATTAGAATTCATCCTCTGGGGACAGTGAACGCCTCATTATCATGGTAATCCAAGATATCTTTATCTATGGACCAAAGTGATGAGCCAACAAACCAACAGACTGACAACTGCTGTCTGTAGAGCCACTCTGCTAGCAAAAACATGCTCGGAAAGACTCAAAGAGGTCAATGAAGCGTGTAGCCTGCTCAGATTAATTATGTTTCACAGGAAACAAAATTAAGGTATTTATCAATATGAAGTGTGTTATAATGAAGGGTGAAAAGCTGACCTGGGTGCCAGGACACCTCTCTGGCCGAAGGCTGCTCTCCTTGTCCACCAGCAGCACGAAACTGTTTACTGCATGGGGAATCTGCTCCTGCAACAGTTAAACAGTCCATAAACTGATCATAAAATTGAATATTACAAATAAATTAGAATACAGTCAAAAACAAATAGACGTCAATGGAAATTAACTTATTTCTGAATTTTATAATTAAATGGGACTGATATCAACAGTGGAAAACTTCAGACTTTATTATGAAGTCAATAATTCATTTAATATAAAACATCTTGTATATTATAAAATATTATACCTGTGATTACAAATAAGTGATTTACACAATTACACATAATTATTCAATAAACTGGACGTCTGGATAAGCTGTTTATCCTCAGGATCTGACACATTATTCAGCTTTGACATTTCACTCGTTACCGTTCAATTACAGTCTGTAAACATCAGTGCTCCACAGCAGTCCAGCCATGAAAAAACACCCAAACTCTGATCTGCTGTGCTCAGCTCTAATAAGGAAGTTTCTATGCTTCTTACCTGAAATGTCATCAAGGCTTTATAGAGCTGTGGTTGAGGATTTGTCTTCCTTGAATCAAAAATGAGCGTAATCCCAGCTTCTCTGATTTCTCTCCTAGATAAACAAAGAAAAGGAAATTAGTCCAGTGAGCACAATAAAACTGCCATGACCACCAAGGTGCCAAAACTTCCTTCCAGTATGACTTTAAACTTAGTTTCAAGCCTTGACTCATTCATTAATGGACTGGCATATGGATGTTACCTGGTGATAGAGTGGAAGTAGAGCAACATCTTGAAGAGCTCCTGGCTTGTTACAGCTGAACTCCATCCCTGGTGGTCTCCATAGAGTTCAACTATTGCCCTGCCTGTTCGGTCTCTGCCCCCTGAAGCAAAGATCAGTCAAACCATTAAGTACAATTTTCATTACATGGTTATTCTGTTTGTTTAGAACAAGATAGTTTCCATGGTTTTCACTTGAATTTTCAAAGAAAATAAAGAGGCTCATAAGATCTAAAGCGAATGGACAAACACAATGCTAACTGACACGAGCAGAGGAAAAAGGAAATCATACAGACCAAAAAGCTACAAGTAAGAAGAGCAAACAGCAGAGTAAAGAGAGACAGAGAGAGCAAGAGCTACTGTAGGTAAGAAAAAGAAATGTTCAAGATATTAGAAAAAATTAACAGATGAATAACCACAATTACCCTTTACAACCTGTATTACTCCCACAGACTGATACTGTTAATACTACTATTATTAGACATCAATTACAATTATAATAAACTTTCTTCTTGCTCTGATCTTACCTGTGAGGGAGGCTACTCCTAAATAGAGGGGGTGGGCTCTGGGGTCCGGAGATCCCAGGGGAAGGTGGTCAGGTCTGGGACGAGCAGAGGCATGCTGGGAGATCTTCTGCGTCTCTACTGCTGGAGGTGGATCTATCTGTGATGGGTTCTCTGTCTGATGGCCATTTCTACTGGTTATGGACATATTGCCAGACTGAGCACCATCTGCAGAAAGTGGATACATTTTGTTGTGGGGAAGCTGATGAAGACTGATTTTCATCTGATAGTTAACAATAATGAAATTAACCTAAAAACCTCCAAGCTAAAGATCAAATTAGAGTACAACATGTATCACTCTGTACCTGGAACGACCGTCTTCCTCCTGTTGATCTTCGGTGAAACCAGTCGGAAGGCTGTGCTGTTTTTACATTTGACCACATGCAGCTGGGGGATCTCTGCACAGGAGTCTTTACTTTCTTTTCTTCTCACATTTTGACCTTCAACAATGACCAGCTCACACTTCTCTGAGGTATCCACCACAGCTGTGGAGAGGGATGAACATCTTCCATCTGACAGGGATTCCCATCTGTTCTGTGTTGCTGAAAGAGACTTAGAAAAGTTTGGACTCACTCCCATGGAACTGGTTCTGCTTTGCAGCCTTTCACGAGGTTTGAGGGTGAGGTTCATTGCTGAAATTTCACTTGAACTAAACGGTAATCTGTGGTGTTTGGCAGAGTTCACATCTGACTGTTTAGGGTCATTTAAGCTTGACAAAGCTTTACTAGCATTTATCCTTGATCCTGCTTCTAAATTTGTCCCATTCACATTGTGTAAATTGCCATAAATTGTGGTAGAGTGTGCATCCCTTGGTTCCCTAAATGGCAGAGTGGTCCTTTCAGTTGTCTGCTCCAGTAAGCTACTACATTTTAAAACATTGGTTCCCCTGTTTGTATCTCCTGGTTTCCAATATGAAACACTGTTAGTTTCTCCTGACTCCTTACAGATGCCTCCACTGACAGAGGAAGGAGACTGGTGATACATCCCAGGATCAAACCACATTCCTTGAACATTACACCATGGACCCCCTGTTTCAGTCTCTGGTAGTTTGTCATCACACTGCGAGACGTCACCATCCTCCTCCACCACAGCTAACATATCCCCCCTCTCTTTCTCCTGTCCAAAGGTGACAGGGTTTTTTATAGCAGCCTGGTAGGAGTCCCTGTATCGACACCTCAGCTCTTGAGCTTTGGAAACCTTTCCACCTTGTCTTCTCCTCATGCACGGGGTGCAGGGTTTCTCTGAGAACCGGACAGTGCGGATACACTGAGAAGGTTCAAGCGAGTCAGGGTGAGGTTGATGGGACTGGGAATGGTGGAGAGTGGATAGAGGTCCTGTTTCTGCAGACATGTTGGGTCTTAATGGTACAGCCTCTGATCTAGAATGACTTTGTGGCTTTGTAGGTAACTGCAAGTGTGCTTGTGACTGCGCTTGAGGTGGTATCTGTGTGTTAGGCTGTCTTTGTGTTTGCCTGTACGACTCCATTTGTGCATGTGGCTGCATTTGTGCTTGTCTGTGTGGATATCTTTGCATTTGTGGTTCAGTTTTTGTGTGTGGTTGCATTTGCATTTCTAATTTCTGCTGTTCTTCAGAAACTGACTGAGCTCTACCAAAAAGCATAGTTGCCTGCAGAATATCAATATATTCCCCTTCTGCAACAACGTGGCCTGCTGGCACACTCCTGCTAATATCTTTAATATTTGTACCTTTATGTTTATCTTGCCTTATGTTTTCAGAAACAATTATACTCTTATCTTCACCTTTGCATGTATTGGTATCACCACTTGCAGGGGTGCATTTGCCTGAAACACTGCTTGTTTTTGTGGCTGTATCTGTCCCAGTAAAGCAGCTGTCCCACGTATTAGGGGACACCCAGCCAATAGGCTTAGTCTCTGTTTCAGTGTCTTTTACTTTGACCAGCCTAGATGAGGAAGCAGCTCTAGTATCAACCAGGCAGAGTGACACAGCAATGCCGTGCTTTGCTGGACATATTCTGGTCTCCACAGAGAAGGCGGAGGGATGTGAAGAAGATGTTAAAATTGAATTTTTAATTGTTACAGGGTACTGTTTTGGTGCAGATTCCTTCAAAGGAGAAAGTGGAAATGGACAATTTGATGTAGATTTCTCAGGAACATGAGGAAGAGGTGGAGGATGAGGAAGTGGAGGTGGTAAAGGAGGATATGAAGAAGGAGCAGAGGCCATACTACTCCCAGCACACGTTGGCACGTCCACAAATTCAGGCACGGCCACCCGTTCCCATGGTAACCTCACCACGCCTTGCTCAGTGGCGAGCAGGCATTGGCTGAGAGGCGTTCCATGGCGGCCCTGGTTAACCTCACGTAACCAGTCACGGCTGAATATACAAGGATAGGAAGTTTCAGGGATTGGGGTCTCCTCGACTACCGCCACTCTGAGTCCCTCCTCTTCCAGGAGGCTGCACACCACGATGCGAGCTGATTGGTCACAGAATGGCGCCACCTGCAGGTAAAAGTCGCCTGGCTGAAGTAGCAGGGGGTTGATGGGAGCAAGGTGGACGACAACTTGGTCATGCAAACATAGAGGCCAGCCCTCACACAGGAAAAGAACATCAGAGTACTGAGCCTAAAAGGGGACAAAGGACAATGACAGTACAGGGTTTCAGAAATTAGAAGTATATCAATATTTTCATTATGATATTAGGTCTAGCAAGAAAATCTTAGGGCAGCTTTACTTCATATCATTGAATGTAGTGAATTTATGTCTCTTTAGACTCATACACAAGACAGTGACTTACACATGCAGCCTGCTGCACAGTGTCTAAAATGTGCTTGGCTGGGACCAGAAAGTCCAGCAGGCACCGCAGGGCATCCCCCTGATAACGACTGTCGATGATTTGGAAGAGCTGGCTGAGAAGAGTAGGGGCGGTGGCCTCAAAGGGCGGGTACAGCACCGACAGCAGGTTCTGGATCGAGCCCTCCAGAGAATCAAGGTTCTGAAAGCACAAGATAGAAAGCAGAGGAAGAAAAATTTGTTTGAGATTTTACTTGTTTATCAATTCCCAATACACAAGTTAGAAGGTACACAAGCCGTGATCTGTGGGTGCTACGCAGACACGCACTACTTGGACAATTTGTCATTTACTCCAAATCGTTATATCACTTAATACTCTCAAATTTAAGATCACTGTTGTAAACATAAACTCTGCTGTCCTTGCACCTATTTATGTTAAACAATCAGCAGTGGAAGAAGATATAAACAAGCCACTGCAGTCATACAACATTTTTATCCTCAATTTTAAAAGCTAACGATAAAGCATTATTAACTACAGTAAGTAGTTACTAAAGATGAAATGTCTTTTATGCCTTTTGAATGAAATATTCATGCTGAATCCCTACGGCTGCAACTGACAGATAATCTGTAGCTATGTTCTTCAATTAATCAATTAATATACTATTGATTTCTCCAAAGAAAATAATGAAAATTGCAACTTCCAAAAGCCCAAGGAGAAGTCTTTAGATTGCTTGTTTTGTCTAATCAGCAGTCCAACAGATTTAATTAATTCATGTTATGATACAGTGAAGCAAAGAAAATGTTCACATTTGAGAAGCTGGAACCAACAAATATTTGGCATTTTTGTTTGTTAAATGACAGGTAATTTATTATTAAAATTGTTGACAAATTTTCTGGCAATGTCTTTATTAATTTATCGTGTCTCCTCTATTGAAATTGTGACTTTATCATTTATGTGAACTATAAATGTACCAGTAAAATTGCAGATTTCAACCCCCTCTTCTCACCCTCCTGTGCCTAGCACATATAAATACAACAAAAAGATAACAAAAACATTTATATTATATTATTATTTTCAGGTGATTGTACACTAATGAAAACATACCTGTGAATATTATATAATATTTCTCTCAATAGATCCTCCTAAATATTATACGCTGGAGCTTTAAATACCCTGTAATGTGCAGTGCTGCTTCACAACAGGAAACCTGGAGTCAGTCACTTTCATCTCACTGGCGTCTCACAGTAAATTACACAGGCCTTGTCCTCAACCTCATGACCCGCTGAGAGAATAGCTACACAAACACAAACACTCTGTGCTCATCATTAAACATATAGTCAGCGAGCCTGACAGCAAACATCCAAGTAAACACAGTGTGTGATGGCTGGTCTCAAGGCTAGCTAGCCTCTTGGTTTATGGTTTCACATTCCCTTTGACCTGAACTCATGGCCCGCTACCCACTTTTAGGCCCTGCTTTATTTAGCCCAGCAAAGGCCACAGCAGCAGACCTCGGGGTTATTGTATATACATGCATGGCTGAGGCTCTGTGGGGAAATATATGGTATCAGGAAACGTGATGTGTGAATGTCGGAGCACTGCATGAACATTGCTGCCCTTGTTTCCCCCTCAGGCATGTGTTCAGTTGGGAGAAAGAAACAGAAAATACACGTGGAAATGCTTCTTAGTTTAAAATCTTCATGTCTTTAGTAAAATGAATCATTTAGGTTAAAGGAATAGATCAACATCTTCAGAACTACATTTAATGAGAAGATCGAGATAGATCAGTCTCATATCTGTTCGTTAAAATCATTCCCAGCTGTAGTGATGAAGAAAGACAGAAATGGATGTAGGGAGATGGAGACAGAGGAGGGTGTGTTAGGGTGTGATGAATTGTCCCCTCAGACTAACACTGGCTCACTGCCTATCCAGCTCTGCTATCTGTTGTGCATCTCCTTCTCCGCACCATTGAAGAGGAAAAATGTAGCACTCTTGGTCTTTACAATTGGACTCGCTCACTAAACTCTGTGTATATATTTGTTGTTTCTTGTGCTTCTGGCAGTTCTCATGTTTTTCTCTCAAGCAACAATGGTCATCCAACCTCTCTGTCTAATCCCCTGACATTATGATCTAAAAATGCTAGACTCTCAGCCCCCACAGCTCCAGAAACAACACTGTGACTCAGAGCTTTCTGTTCAGTCCTGCCCCACCCTGCTGGGACAAAACACAGAGACGGTCATCGTGATAACATGAAGGAGAAGGTGGAGGAGGAGAGTAATATAAACAATGGTCGAAGTTATCAAGAGGAGGATGCAGATGGCTAAGGAACAAAATATGTACTGTAAGCAAATTCAACTCATAGCTCATAAAATCTTAATTAAATGCTTCCCATCCTGGAGACAATGATCGCCTGCTTCATCAATGTTTTTTTTTCTTGGCAGCTCGGAAATTGCAGAAATTCTAATGAATTTGATCTTAAGGAGAAAATTAAATAGGGATACTGGTTGGGTCCCCTGGCAATGATGACAAATGATAAACATGCAGAGGCTAGAAAGCCTTTGGAGTGCTTACAATGAGAGTGGAATTTAACTTGCAGTGTATTAAAACTGATGGTAATATGAGTCAGCTGTGAGATGCAAGACACATCATCACCAGTTACTGTATGTCTGCGCACGAGAATACACATAAAGCTGACTTGCTGTTTCCAGTATAAATGCCGTGTTAGGTGTGTTCTTTTATTTATGTGTTTATTTGTGTCTGTCTCCAGTATGTGGTGTATAAGTGGGCTATATGGATCTGTCTGTCTTCCCAGGCCAGCATACTGTTGCCGCAGATTCACACGGCTCTATATAAACACCCAGATCTCTCTCTCTCACTCAGCCACTGAAAGAAATGGCGATGCTCACATTACTGTGGATAAGATGTCCCAGTGCGGGAGCTGAGGACAGTCTGAATATCTCTGTCCAGTATCATTATGAAACAGAAATAGTCTTTGTACATTCCTGATGTCAAGCAGGTTCCTGCCTGGACAAGAACAAAATATTTAACAATGAAAAAAGGAAAGCATGCACGGTGACTTAATACATTCCTCTGAGACATTTATTCCTCAGTAGAGTATATTCCGTTATGTTTTTGGGGCAATTAGCCTTTTTTATTTGATTGTATCTGGTAGAAAATGATAGGAAATGTGGGAAGAGGCAGTGGTGATGACATGCACCAGGTCCAGGGCTTGACCTTTTACCAAGGTTGTTGCACGGTACAAATCTCTTAACCAGGACGACCCCAACTGTGCCATTAGATGACAAATTGTTTCCAAAATCATTAACTAATTTCATTCTTGGTAAAAGATGTGGAAAAATTATGTCCTGGAAAGAATAAAAACATTATTATTGTATTTATAAGAAAGGAACTTAATTTCAAATTCAGTAGTAGTTGGTTCCGAACATGGCAATTTCCATGTCTGTACCTCCCCTCCATTTAGGAGTCCAGGGATGTATCCTAACAAATATTCACATTGTGTAATACTATGTATACAAGATGCCTGAGAAATATGTGAAGCACAATAAGCACAACTGATGTGATTTGGCCAAACTTCAAAGCCTCTACAGACACTGATACTGCCTCTAAATAAGCATGAAAAGAATCCATTTCCTGTGTTTACATCTGTGGTTTTTAATCTTTAAAATAAAAAATAAAATAAAAAAACAGATTCCCCACTGGATTACACAAACTACTTAAAATGGTTTTCCTGCTGAGGGACAGATATGGATTTAAATAAAACTGGATTTATTTGACTTTTGACTTTGACTTGTTTTTAGGTTGAAATGATATTCTTTTCAAATTGGTTTGACAGATGACTGTGTGCATGTAATCCTCCAACTGGACATGAAAGTCTTTGGAGAAGACATCTAGGATACTTATAAAGCCACGTCTGTTATCTTCAGGTCTCACCTGTGTGTCCTCCTGCTGTGCCCAATTAAGACAAATCAGAGGAAGTATACGTAATAGAACTTTTAACCTCCTGATACTTTCATAAATACTGGTGGATATTCTTTAGATGCTGAGTCAGTGAGATGTCAAGGTCGGGAGGATGGAGGATGCATTTTGGCCAAACAAATGCATAAGCTAAATTTATACTGGCTGCAGGGGCACTGTTCTATGTCCGACCTCTGACCTTCCTGTGGGGGAGGGAATGCAAAGAGAAACTACTTATTTTTCCGAACTAATAACATCTACGCTTCCATCAAAATTCTGGTTAGTTTACATGACCATTAAGATTTACTTGAAGTTTCTGGACAAAACTTGTTCAGCAAGTTTCCCACCTCACCATTCTCAGTCTCATAAACTCAAATGTCACATACTATTGATAGTCAGAGACCACTTCTCTCCACATGTTTAGACTGAGGTTGAGTCTGAACTGTTATATTAAGTTATAACAGTTATGTTATTCTTTACAGTATTTAACATGAGAAACAGGTTTTTAACAAAAGAGATTGATGACACAATGTGTATTTTAAGTTCATTATGTTAAAGTATTTTGATAATTAACTGAAATGAACAACAAAACAAAATTAAAACTAAAAATGTGCATTATTTTTGTTGATGAGCATATTCTACCGTTTAAATCCCTCTTGTTTCGAAATTTGTGGGATTTTAACACTCCATGTAAGACTTCTAAAACAACAACAAAATCCTCCTAGACAGACTTTTTACATCTCCATCGTCTTCTTTTCAGCAGGAAGAACTCCCTCACTAACATCTACGTCATGGTGCTCTGATGAATGGCTGTTTTCAGCCTGCTACTCTGTGGAGCCATTCACAGAAAATGACAACTTTCTGAATGACAACAAACCATGTCCAGGAAACACCCATAGTGACGGACAATCTTAGCTATTTTGTAAATTGGAGGAAAATTCAATTGTGCTGTAAACGGATTAACGCTGATGATGACAAACCGCAGGACAATCAATAGAGCACAGGAGTGACTCACACCAGACGTGGTGCAAAATGTAGTGGTGCTGAAGAGCCTCTTTGTTAAAACAGATAGATGAGATTCTTTAATGGTGAAGAAGCAACGTGTTGTCACATTTTCTGAAATTTTTACTTCAATTGTTAATTACATCTACAAATAAATAAATCAAACTTTAAGCATTATTTTAGGCAACTTCAAATTAACTTGCATTATGAAGGCAGCACTTTTACTGTCTCAGTTAGTGTTTGTCTTTTGTGTCTTAAGACCCATTTAAGAGGTTTATCCTAAAATTATATAATCTAATTATATAATCTTTTTTTCTTCACTGTAGAACATATTATAATTGGACATTACAACAAGCATAAATAAATAAATAAATAAAGCATAAATGATTAAATTAAAGGGACCATGCCCTTGCTTTAACAATTTTTATTTTGAATTTTGAAAACAATTCTTTGGATGTTTAATGTTAGTTTGGCTCTCTAAATTGTTGCTGCCTTATACAACAGCCCAAATAGAGATTTGAGATGAATACACACCATATCAGATCTTTTATGGTTGCCCAAAAACATCTGTTATCTCTTCTGAGCATTTTTATGTAAATAATTTACTATCCCATGCTATTTACAGCTTTGAAATCTGCAGCAGGAAAAGAGATTGCTCAGAGAAAAAGGTACCAAATGGATGTACCTAATACACCGTTGTACCTTTTAGTCTAAAGGTGCAGCTTTTAGGCTAAAAGGTTCAAAGAGAGTTACAAAAGTTTCTTCTTTCTCTTTATTGGTTTTCTTTTTCTGAGTGCAATATCTTGTGGCTCTTTACCTCAACAAACCCGATGACACCCGAACACGAGCACAAACCAAATTACTCTGAGGTCGGACATAAACACAGGCTGAGTAGAGCAACTGTACATGACCACTGAGGCACCGAGATGGCCAGACGGTATATTTAGTAGCTTCACAGGGATCAGCAAATCAGAGCTTGCGGAAGGCAAACACTAATCATGACGGCCTTGATCAGCAGGACGGTTTGAAGGTGGCTGTAAAGTAGCAGTCAGGAGGCAGCGAGGCCTGTGTTTAAGTCGTTAAAAACACGTCAGGGAATTATGAATGAGCCCGAGACTTTGAGCATGTCTTTAAACTCATCACGAGCCAGTTGACGTGTCTGCGCCGTGTGTGTGCGAGGCGTGTTATTATATCAAAGTGTGGCTTAGCTTTCACTGACACACTCATCTTATCTGTAATTAGCCCACAGCTGTGCTTAATGAAACTCACACCGCCAGATTTCATAACAAACAGCCAGAAACGATCACTTAGATACGGGAAAAACAGGTGAAAACACAGAGGGGCTAGGCTCAGTCATGCTAATCAGACCCAACATCCAACTATATGACATCAAATCTTTCAAATGTATAATAAAATCCTAAAATTGAAGACACATATGGATAAAAAAAATCACACTTCATGTCATATAAAGCGTTATCTGAGTGTCTTCATATGATATGCAGCTCTGCAAAAACTTTGGCTGAAAAACACTATTAGAAATTTTAGAACAAGGGAGGGAAATGCTCAGAGGGTAAAAATGAAAACTCTTTGCAGTTGTCCACATATCAGATCACATCAGAGTTCAACACTTGAACACAGCTGCTTCAGAGACACATCCGCTCAGTCAACACATCAACTCAAAGTTACTGTCACTAAAAACCTCTTTGTATCATCAGACACATTGCTGCGTACTCTGAAAGCAGATGCCGCCTAGTGCCTCCCCACCAAAGCAGCATAAACGAGTGGGCTCCAGGTAAAGGCGGGATGATGATTTGTAGTTTTGCAAACAGATCTGTTGAGTCAACTGTTGTGTATTTCCATTGAATCACCAGAACGGGACAAGACGTCTTTCTGCTGAGAGAAAAAGGATGCTCTGTATAACCTGGTCAACACAGGAACAAATACCCAAACATTGAGGTCACTCCCAAAACAGGAATAGTCGAGTTAATGACTCGGGCTTCAACGACATGGCAAATATACAGGAAACAGGGCGGGAAAATCACAGCAACACACACACACAGTGTCCTGCCAAATCAAACCTACAGGAGAGCTGGGCGGGCATTTTAAAATCCAGCTCTCTACATAACATCCTCCCAGTCAGAGTGGCAAACAAAATCTACTTTATGTGCAACCGGGCACACCCTCTCTACAAGCGAAGCAGACATAACAACACACAGAAAATACATACATTCAGAAATGTCTTCATGCAGGCAGAGAGTCTCAAAAGGCCAAAATAATAAAAGACTGAACTTTCCAGATTTAAATCCATACATCAGACAGCACTGATTTGTAAAATCCACCTCTCTGATGCTGTGAGATGGTTTCTTTACACCAGATCCGTTCAGCTTCTGCAGGACTCACATGCCAGTAAATGGGGATCCAGGAAGGAGGCAGATACAGTGGCTGGTTTGTGAAATCTGCCTTAATGCTCTGTAACCTGAGACCTTCACCTTGAGTCAAAACACTCTGGCAGAGAGCAGCAGCCAGTGTAAGCTATGGGAGCTATGCTGTACGTTGCACACAGTCAGTACATGCATTTTTTTTAAATAAAGGGCTGCTTGTCAGGACATAATAAATACATGTAGTATTGAAAGGAGAGTGCTGTAACTGTCATGTCTTAAATTTTAGAAGAAATTCAACACAAATGAATCATTTAGTTCATGTTAAAAGAAGCACGGTGTGTATTATAACATTTTTTTTTATTCTATAGAATCTCAGTCTTTCAGATTGCAAGGTGTCATCTTCAAGTCATCTATCAAAATTGTTGTCAATAATTTTCTGTTGATAGACTAATCCATGAATCAACTTGTTGCTTCATCACTAAAGATGTTATTCAAGACTCTCAAGTCAGCTTCTAAAGTAGGAGTAACATAAAGCACCTCGACCTCCGCTGTCATCTCACAGAGAGGTGTATGACAGTAAAATGATGGATTATGAGTTGAACGCCAGGAAGCTGAAACTCCACAGGACATCCAACACCTTCAGACAGGTTGGTATAATACTGTCATATAAGTACAAGCTCAGGATTATTAGCAGAATAAATCATCATCAAGTGTCTAACAGCTCTTACCCTGTAAGTTACAGCATCTGTGTAACAAGATTTAACATTCAATCAATTCTGCAATGTTAATTAATAACTACTATAATAACAATAATAATAATATAATAATAATAATAACTATTTTCAGTGAGTAATTGTTAAACTTTGATTCAATGGTTATCGTAAATAACCTAAACAACAACAACAAAATCCTGTGTTCACTCTGAACAAAGAACAGGATGGAAGCAAACAGAGCAGATTGTCATATTACCATCTTCCTTTCTGCAAGCTGTCATTCCCATTCATCACAACAGCGGTTTCTGAAATAATCCAAACGGTGTGATAGTCAACAGAGCTTCTTCTCCTGCTCGGTGGCTGTTGGACCAATACGAAATCCATTCTGCCCAGACACTCGTTCACAGCTGAGTGAGTGAGGACAACCTTAAGCCAGCTGGATGAGCATTCGTCAAGTCCTCAGCTGAGCTGCACTTAGTCTTTGATTTCTCTTGTTTCCTCGCTCTCTCTCTGTCTCTCTCTGTCTCTCTCTGTCTTTGATTTACTGTGTTCTCTCTGCTTTCTGTCTCTGCTGCTCTGTCTCACTGTGTTTGCGCTCTCCCTCTCGCAGCACCTCGAGTGCCGGGTGCTATGTTTGTCAGAGAGGGGCAGCGTGACCAAACATGAGGAGAGGTGAAAGAGGGAGAGAGAGCGAAAGAGAGAGAGAGAGAGAGAGAGAGAGAGAGAGAGAGAGAGAGACAAGCCTCCTCGCAAGTAAATCCAAGTACATGCAAGTGCAAATTCTTAGGTTTTTCTCTATGGCATCTTCTTACACTTTACTTACACACACACACACACACACACACACACACACACACACACACACACACACACACACACACACACACACACACACACACACACACACACACACAGGCTCAATAACAAGATCATAATTAACCTAAAATACCAACCACAAACATGATCCTTGATACCAATAAGCCACTGCCAACCAACACAAAATGATACATGATTAAGAGACTGCGTGTGTGTGTGTGTGTGTGTGTGTGTGTGTGTGTGTGTGTGTGTGTGTGTGTGTGTGTGTGTGTGTGTGTGACCTTAAGATGAAAAGCTGGTCCCAACAAGGTTAAGCATTACATTTTAGGGTAAGATTTGAGGTTAGGTTTGTAGGGTTTATGGTTAAGATTACGCAAAGTCTCCAGGGAATTCATGTAGGTTGATGTAATGTCCTGTGACAAAAGTGACAAAAACAGATAGAAGGATGATGAAGAGTAGGATAGAAGGGACAGTTGTTAGCCAGCTAATGCAAGTTTTCATTTCACCTGACTTTGAAAAAAACTGCACTTGTGACAAGAACCAATATTTGAGTTTCAATCAGAGATGTCTACCCTGCCTATGTAGAAATGTAAAGATATGTCTGCACATTACAGTCAAGCTCTTAATAATTAGAAAAAGTACACTTGTTCAGAGGTATAATCCCTCCCAGATGGTTTGTTACATCTGGCACAGTCAGGTTACTACAGTAAACTCATATATTCTTTAGTGGCAGTTATAAAGGTATAGACCAAGGATTAAATTTAAAAAACACTTCATTTCAGTACTCTGTGAAAACTCAGACAAGAGTCAGTCAGCTTCCCAGGGGGCTAACAAGCCAGCAAAAAGGATCAAATGTACGGTGGCACAAATACAAAAGTTTTGAAATGTTTAATGCTGTGTCTGTGGCAGCAAAACCACCATCAACCACTGCTTCTTTCTTCCTGTCACAAGACCATCGTGAGGACAAACACAGAAGGGCAATTGCAATATTGTGTGACGTGAAATACAGTATGCATACTGACATCTTCAACTGCACTTAAATTTGAGACATTTCCAGTATGCATGCTCTAAAAACTGAAAGCGGGGTTGGAATATATATTGTCATATTTAAATGACACCTAGCTCTAACTGTGTGCATGCAGTGGCTGATGTAAACAGTATACATAATGTATACTAGAGTAGCGTGCCCTCTGCTTCCAGTTCTGACGTTGAGAACAGGCCGGCGGACAAACATGTGTGCTGATGTTGTTGTTGTCATATACTGGAGCTATCATTGTTGGCCCACCCCCCACACACTTCTCTCTCTCTCTGGTCCTACTCCAGGCTCAGTTAATGCACTGACTACACTGGGTGACAAGGCAAATGTGCAAAAGTCACAAAGGGACACAGAAAGAGAGAGAGAGGGAGAACGGGGGCAGCAGGGAGGGGGGATGAGAGAGAAAATGTGTGTGTGTGTGTGTGTGTGTGTGTGTGTGTGTGTGTGTGTGTGTGTGTGTGTGTGTGTGTGTGTGTGTCTGTGTGTGTGACAGAATGTCTGTGGTATTAGGTTTGAGCAGAGAAAGCGTGTCCTCGCCAGAGGAGAGAAGCTGTTGATTCAACTGGTCGCAGCCAAGGCCTTGTCGCCCTTGTCCTCATCTCTCTGTCTGTCTGTCTCTCTGTCTCTGTCTCTCTCTCAAAATCCCTTTCTTACTGAGTCTCGACCTCTCTCTCCATTTCACTCATACATATTATAAAAAGGACATTTTACTTAATCCAAAATCTCTGCCCCTCCTCCTTTGCTTCTTTGTCGGGTCGTCATTGTGAATTACAATCTGCACAGAACCGGCTTGCCTGGTTAAAAATAAATGTTAAACAAAAATAAATCCTCAAACGTGTGTCCTTAAAAACTAAAGAGGATGACAGCCGCTTCACTGTAACACACTCCTACAGGGTGGACATTGGCTGTGTGAGGTTCAGACGAGGATCTCTGCTGAAATAAAAATGAATTCACTTCTGTATGTTGCTCTCTCATGTTGCTGCATTTTAATGCCCATGTATCCTTAATCCACAGGGTTTCCACGTTTCTCCAAATCATAGTTTTGCATGCTACGTAGCTGAAGAGAGCAAACACTACTTATGTCAGTCAGATCAGGAACAATTAGCAAATTACAAAGAACTTAGAGAACTTGTTTCAACCTGACAGGAAAACCAGGGTTAAGTTTATCAATGTAAATTAAATGGTCAAAATGTAAAAAACTAACTGATCAGCTGATTAATTGTTTTAATAATTTTTCAAGCAAATATTCTCTAACATTCCCTTGTTCCAGCCTCTCAAATATGAGGATGTGTAGCTTCTCTTTGTATTAAGTGACAGTAAATTAAATAACTTTAGGGTTAGTTTTTTGTTAGTTTTTGTTTTCAAATCATATTTTGGGCTATTGGTTGAACAAAACAAGTCATTTAATACATTTACCTTTCACTTTAGGAAATTGTGAGAACGGTCAGCATTAAGCAGGAGTTTCAAAAGGATTCATGTGATCATCTTAACACTCCTGATGTACCAAAAATCTGCATCAACTTTTCATGACTTAAATCTTACATTCATTTGGCAGACTGACTTTATTCGAGTAGTTTATACTAAACTTGAAAAATGCAACCTGGATTTTCAAGTCTAATTGTCTGACACCTGGTATGGAATAAGAAATACCATAAAAAGTATTTGCAGGTAGTATTTGGATCATATCTGCGGTCTACCCCGTCATCTTTCTATTTATCCTCACTGTGAATGTCGGTTCAAACATTAACAGCTCCAGACATATAAAAACAGCCAATAAAATGAGCCTGCTGCTCTGAATGTAACACTGGCTTTACTGTATTTGGAAGCAGCCCTGTCAATGTTAGACTGTGTCAGAGTGGATTTGAAAAGGTGTGCGTGTGTGTGTGAGTGTGTGTGTTCACGACTCGGTGTACTTTGTTACAATAGCCTTAATGGAACAGAGTGTTTAGAAGCTGCTAATCCCAGCCAGTGATGGAAACAAACGCACCTCAAGCCTTGGACTTCTATTTTTGCCTCCAGCATCCTCAGCACTTCAAGCATGCATCGTCCCAAACTCTGGCTTAGACAGCTAGCACCTCATTACCATTCTGTAAAGCAGTTAACATAGCTGGAGATGCATTTCCTCCAGTGAGCAAGCAGAGGTCAGAGCGAGGCTGCACAGGAAGTTCATATAATTGCCAGTTTTATGAGCAATTGGCTGCTTCAGTGTGTTATGCAGTACTTGTGATGAAGGCTTGTTTCTGGTGGTAAACAAAGCAGGCATATTTTCAAGCTTGAATCCCATACATGCAGACACATAAGCAGCAGCCGTAGATTTCAGTAAGATACTGAAGTTCAGATATACATTTTCGACAGTAGGTCAGTAGTATCAGAAGATAAACCTCTGCTGTTATTGTATATAGCTAGATATAGTGTACATATAGAGTATCTGGAAAAGCAAGCACATCCAGGACATTGGCTCATTCCCAGGTCAATACAGCCACACTTGTTTGTGGTAGAGTGGATGCGGCTGAAAGTAAAATCTTGATATTTTTATGCCTTTTGATAATAGAAATCTATATATGTATGCTTTTCCTCTGGAATGGCTTTAGGATTTTGTCTAATCATAACCAATAACTAAATGTTGGATAAAGATAGCTGGCGGAGAACAGCTAAAACCTGAATTCAGCAAGCTACAACTTATTTTGTTCACTGTGTCAATTTTCTGCTCAGATTTAGGGTAAACAGTATTGGACAAAGCTCTTGTTACTGTTCCACTGGAAGTGAAGCTCAAATCAGATCAGTAACCTGGTGTGGACTGTCTGGGATTGTCAGAGCATCTTGAGAAAAGAAAAGATTTCAAAAGAATTTGGCTCTAACTCAATCTGAAAAATTATAACCACAAGCTTTTCATTCCTGAGTGTTTATGTGTCTCTTGATCTGTAATTATTGGTCAGTGGACAAGGAAAAAACTGGCGAACAACCCTATGGTTTCTCTGCTGCAGAAGTGCACTTAGCTGTATTCACAGCAGCAACCACCACAGCTTGTCCTTCCAAAGTCAATCCAATGTACAAGTGCCTTAGGCTACATTACCAGTAATAACCACTAGATGCTGGCTCCAAAAAACATCACTGGGTTGAGGTCAAAGGTCTTTCTACAAGTCAATATAAGCTGAGTTTCCCATTTATATTTTGTGTCTTTGTTGCAGTTTTAAAATAATTGTGCCATCAAGACTTTAGGAAGGATATATTTTGGGGTGTCTTTACCTTGACTGACAGGTGTCTGAACTCTTCAGCACTCAGCTGTGGTGATCACCACCTGCTCATCCAACCTCACCTCCATTCAGGCTTAATACTGTTGCATTGAGGTGAATTTTCCAGCTCTCAATAAGTGGATCTAACTCCAGTTTGGTACAGCAACAATACAAGCATGCTGCTAAAGAGGCTACAGTATACACACACACTGACCCACTTTGCAATAGTACAGACAGGCAAAGCAGGAATGTCATCGTTATTATCGTAACGCACATGTGACATACAAAACTTTTTGTGCTAATATTGTGCCACACCGATGCTAAACCCAGTATGGGCACAACAGTGAGATACAGAAAAGCTCAAACAGTTGGAGTCTTTTAACAGACTCACCCAGGAGATCTAGGCTGCATGATTCAACACTTGCTCTGCAGCGACAGCTTTGGGTTGAGTGAGACAAATCGACCCAGTGGGGAAGTGAAGGAGAGACATCTATTTTAGCCATCCAACTGACTGTGTGACCCCTCACAAGCCTCCTCTGGAGCTGACCCTGCCGGTC